TTTTTGACACGGCTTGTGAAAATACAACTACTTCTTGTAAAATGAAACTTTATTCTAAAATGTATCCAAAATTGCAAGACACAAGCACCATTAAACAGATAAATAGACATATATTTATGTACAGAGAGCATCAAAACACAAAACAATTGTTAATATAATTCTTATACCATTTTAATGAGTATCCATCAATAAAACTTTACAATTTAAAGAAGACTTTTCAGTTGCAAAACAGTTGTAAAATCATATGTATAAATTATGTTTACTACAATTCCAATAACAGAGGCAAAGTAAAATACAAAAATAATAATCAATACTGCAAATTCAAATACAAAACCCAAAGTAATGCTGCACAGGTACATACGTACACTGGATGAATTCATGCAGCGAGGCAGTGCAACAAATTAACTGCTGAGTTTAACTTATCACAAAATGGAACAACCATGTTGGCAAACAGAAGAAAATATATTTTTGTAATAAATCATAGTGCATTTTGAAGTTAGACTTTATAAAATGATTGTTGAGTGATATACTTCTAAAATCCCCTATGTGATCTGATATTCCCCAACTCCTCTCCCGCAAAATAAAATACAAATGACAAAAGCTAAAAAAACCCCACTGTAGTACAGAGTCTGATGTACTGGTACCATCTTGACTTTTTTTATTCTCGGTATCAGACTTGTTTGCAAGTGCCCGTGTCCACAGGGACACGCACGACTCCTTGCTACCGAAAGTAAATCTTTCGCAGTCCAATGCTATCTCCGTAAGCTGAGTCTCACACGATGCTTAGACTGAGCTGGTTTTATAAAGAGACACAGCTGAGCCTTGAAAAAAGAACTCTTAAATCCCTATGAAGTACAGAGAGAGAGTAAAACAGGGGATAGAGAGACCTCGTTACTCCTGAAGCTCCTACCCCTGATTGCTTTAATTACATAAACAGAGATTAACAGAAGAGGCTTTTATGGCTTGGATGAAATTTCTGCTAATTTGCTGGGCAAGCGCAAAGCCCGCGTTTCTCCACTGGGCTTGCCTTTCACAGTGCAGAAGGCTACAGACTATTTCGGTTGGTGAAAGGAAGCCTCAGGTAACCATACAGAGTAATACTTCCGCGGTGAAAATGTATTAGCGATAAAGAAACAAAATCGAAACAGAACCTCTTGAAAACTGTGACTTCTTGTGTAGCTGCAGTACTAAAACATGACTGTTCACCTTTCAGTTCTGCGTTGGTTGGCATATCATGAACATGTAGATAAACCCGAGGTTCATACCTCATTGAACATTACGGTTAAGTGTCAAAATTAGATGAGATACAATTACACAGTCTGACACTTTTTTTTTTTTTCTTAAAATCTCAAGTGATAAGCACGCTCAGTGTTTTCACTAGGAAGTTACTGCTAAAATGCTACATTTCTTTGCTGAGAAGACATTAATTTACAGCAGCCCGTAAACTACTGAAGAGTTGCTCCCTGCATCCTTTGTGCTTCCGAAACCCCCTTTCAAGCCATTGTCAACTTTCAAGTTAATGGGAGTTCTGAGCAAAAAAGGGATGCAGAAAAACACCTGTATTGGGTTAACAATGTAGCTATTTGTACAGCAGCATTTCTAAATTTCCAACATGCAAGCACGCGTAGAGAGAAGCTAAGAGACGGCATGCACTGCAGTGACGTGCCATTGTGCTTATGTCTGGTGAGAATACTATGGCATTTTCACCCGGGAAAACATAAACGTTAGCCCCCGAAGACTCAAATAGCCAGTATTAATGAAGCCATCAGCTACTGTGTAGTAAAGAACACCCAAAAAGAGGGAAGAAGTTTGCCTGCTTGTAGCTTATAGATACTGAAGCTGAAGAGAATTACAAAGGCACGATACAAGCCTGTGTTTTGTGTAAATTATACATATTCATATATTTTTGCTCATACCACCTCAAGATACTGAATGGTAAAATAGTAACTGAAGATACAAACGTTAATTGAAAGTTAAGCACTGAACATAAATGGCTGCTGGAGAAGATAGCTCACGACTCGCTGCATTTCTACCTTTCCTGGGTGGTGAGCTTGTCCACCACAGGCTGACAAGACCCATCAAGATACCGAGAACATGGTGATCCACCGAGAACACTGGAAGAGCATCAGACAATGGACAGAATGGCTTTACACATCTGAAAAGTTGTCAGTAAGTGGCTGCCGCAGCAATCTTTCCCACTGCAACTGCTTTTTGGCCCAGAATTCATGGAGAACCCAGAACAGTAACTGGGAATTCATACCCATTTGCGTTCAGAGATGAGGCTAAGATAATCCATCAAGACAACATTTTGGTTAAGTTCAGCACTCAAAATGTTGAACGGCAGAGCAGGGATTGTACTAACATATTGTAGAAAAACAATTCTCAATTTTTCTATTCATAGCTACACAAGGTGCGTACCACCTTCCACACTGAATGACTCACAACTGGGGAAATAAGGCAAATGTACCAATACTGCTCTGGTTAAACTCACAAAAAACTGCACCCACTTTTGTGTGAATGCAAGTTATGTGGCAACCTTGGAGGCAGCTGCTGTCCCAGGCCCAGCTGTGAGAATGTGGACACTTCATGAGCGTGAGAAGGTGCAAGTTACAACATTCGCATTTTTAAACTTGAGCTGTTCCTCAGCTTGCAACAAGAATTGGTACAACTGCTGTTATGACTTCGTACCGGCAGTTAATGAAGAAAGATACCAAGTTGAACTCGAATAAAGTAGGTGAATGGTGCAAGCCTGTGGTGGAACCTGCTATAAATGCGCTTTGCTAATCCACAGTAACGCTGTTTGCAAAGACCTGGTCTACCTGCAACTGGATACTTTCCTCATCTCCAAACCAGCACATGAAATCATACATGTTTACCCCAAGTTTACAAAAAAACCACCCAAACCCTGAACTGCCATTACTGCCTGTATTCTCACAGTCCTAATTTAGGACCTCCTAGATTTATTCCTTTAAGGCCTCAGGAAAGGTATCTTTAGCCATCCCTAGAAAGTATGAACATCGGTACAATATAGTTATAACCTCACAGCTGAATTTAAAAGCAGCATATGCAATTGCTGGTGTTGATTTGCATATGCAGTGGTTTCTTCAGGTGTTGCTTTCAATGAATGAATCGGTGGAGGCAAAAGGGGAGAGAGAGCCCACTTAGCAAATAAAGGCCAGGGTTTCTATGCAGGTGTAAACCTAGAGACGTTCAAACAAGTTAGTTCCAAGTTACACCTGCTTATAAAAAAGGAAGTAAAGACGAAGAAAATAGCAACTCTGGGGGCAGAAATCTTGTGTTTCGAGATTGAAGGATTCCAAAACTCATATGGGAGCTGCTTGGATTCAGGTTCTTAGGAGCTGCATTATTCTTGCCCACACCAGGCTTCAATAAAAACACTTTTGTGTATGGGGACGTGAAGCTAAATATAAACCCTTGGATTCATTCCACCTAATTGTAGGCCTTTAAAAGCATGTAGGATTCACCAGTGGAGAGGCAATTGATACCCCAATACAACCTCCCAGAGGCACCCCCTCTTCAGTCCCTCCTCTGACTTAGAGAAGGAGACCTAGGCTGGTGATTTTTAGGCAGCTAAAATTAGGGTAGGATGAACCAGGCCACAGTGAAGAGCAGCAAGAAGTCTGACCTGGGTGGTAGAGGATTACCATTACAAAATACCGTCTGCAATAGCCATGTCCGAGCCTCCAACCCAGATATGCTCTGGGGTTAGTGACCCACACAGGCCATGGCTGTGCAGCTCCCCAGTCTCACAAGCAACTTGTTAACGATAAAACAGGGAGGCTTAATTTTATGACGCTGTTCCCTTTGTTTGGTCCTTAGACACGGTGGCTTCTCCGAACAGGGGATTCGCGGAGCTGCGCCACGCTGGCTGTCAGAGGCACTCTCCGAGGGAAGGCTCTCTCAAAACTCATAAGCACACAGGGCTGCATTTTGGTACAACAGAACTAATACCACCAACAAACTTCTCAGCACTTCAGCAGCTGTGGAAACCAGCTGTGTATTTTAAAAAGGCATTTTGAAGGAAGGGAAGCCTTCAGGGGCAGGTCTGTTTTCTGACGCAGTCAAAGGGCTTCCAATAAAGACACATGCATGGTACAACTCCTCCCAAGGGCTGCAGCTGGGATAGTTACGATTCCCCAAGCAAGACCATTTGGAAAGGGATGACAGTGCGCTAGACCTCTCACCAGCAGGGACTACTGCCGTTCTGAAACCATCCCAAAGGCTGCTTTTAGAAGTCCGGAGAAGTTTGCAGCTGGAGTGGTTACTCAACGCTCATGCGCGTCCGCGTATTTCTGATGCTGTGGGAATTTTGTACTGCCATGCGTTTGAAGTCTTTCAGCCCGGCATGGATCGGCTTTTGCGGAAGCTGCCGATAATGAAGCACACACTGAGGAGAAAGACAGCTGTTCTGAAGTACCCAAAGTTTGTGAGACCCTCCCCCCAATATCATCCGTATTCATGCTTCAGATCAGAGGCAGTATCCAATTTTGTATGTATTTGCGACATGAATATTTAGACAAATTTAATTCTTGCTTGTTTGGAAAATTACTGAGGTTTTCTTTACTTCCCAAGAGTGGAGTTTGAACATTAGGCTCATTTACGATGTTCAAAGTCATTCTTTGTCTAGAATACACCTCCTTAATTGTTTAAATGTGAGCTGCAAATACTTGGGATTATGGGATTGGGATTACCCTCTTGTTCTCTGTAAAGGGCTGAAATAATCTGTAGAAACACTTTTTTTTTTATTTTATTTTTTACATTAGAAATATAGGGAATTTATCTACAGAGCGGCTTGGAAGTGTGAGGAACATTTACCACAAATACACAAAGTCTTATGTGAAAGGGTGAAGGTGCAAAAATCACTAACAAAGACTGCCTTTATTAAAAAGATTAATCTAGTCATTTAAACTATCAATAAAAACAAATAAAACACAGAACTTAAAATAATACAAGTAAGAATCCCCTTCAATTTTCCCAGCTTTTTCACTTTTCCCATCATTGCTTTTCAGTCTAGACAGGACTTAAGTTTCTGATGTTAGAAACCAGCAAAGACATACACATTTTTCAGGTCTTTGTTGTGTATACTAATAAAAAAAGAATCCAGAGTTCAAGAATTCAGGTTATTTTTCTGTCTTGATAAACAGACAAATAACTAAATTCCCATTAAAGCACTGCCTCACGCAAAGCCTGTCATAGCTGGGGATGAAGACACAATACGGAGGCAGTGCTTTTCCCTCTGCATGCCCTTAGAGATGGGTTTCTGTCCTGGCACTGATGCAGAAGTTTTTGGGAAAAAAACCCCAAAGTCAGCAGAGGAAAAGCTAATGCCTCTTTCCTCACTTAGTGCAAGGAAGCCTATAGGCTGGCGACAGCCTGGTGAGGGCCTGTAGCCCACCTTTGCCTGGGGAGGGGGAGAGGAGAGGCTTTCCCTCCTGCGCAGCTCCCTGCTCTCCCAGGCTGGCAGGCACCGTGCACGGCGCACCCGGCACGGAGCCACGAAATGTGCTAACCTGCCTGTGGTCTGCTGAAATCCAAACCCCAGCTCTCAAAAAAAGGGTATGAACTGGGTTGAATTCTCTTAGGTCACATTTAATATTCCTGTAAATGGCTTATATATCTGCTGTTTGAAATAAATTCTGAAACCACTAAGCGTGCTTAACAAAGCTTTAACTATATGTGAACAGCAAGTTTTGAGGACAGAACAAGTACTGTTGTAGTATATAATACACATGGCTGTACAATCAAAAGCCACCTCTTGCTTCAGAACAAGAATTTACAGTAAGCAAGCAATGGTGACAAGGTTTCTTACACAAAACCTACAGGAATTTACAGAATATGCATGGATCACTGAGGTTATAATGCCAGCAGTAGACTACACGAGTATCTTGTGCAATGTGAACAAAGTTGACAATAGTTTACCAATGCTTTAAGTAATTCACATAAATATGCTAACCCACCAGCTACCAAATCTTCCTCCTCTCCCCGCCAGAAATGAGTGTTTGCCAGATGCATGTACAACAGTCCATATAAAAGAAATTGATTTTTTTTTTGTGTGTTTTTAGGCAAACATGCACAAAATAGATGCACTGCAACATTTTTGCAAGGGGATACTTGCCACAAAAAAAGCCCTCAGAGTTGGTCTCTGAGCATATAGAGCATTTTGGTTCACACCTCTCAAATAGCCACTACAAGGCTAAAAATGTTTGTTGTGTGGATGCTTTTTGTCCTGAATAAAAAGTAATTTACTTGATTCTGAACTAACAGAAAGCTCCAGCTTCCACTTGACTCATGCCACTCTTCCACGTATTTCAGCCCTAGTTTAGGAACTTTTACTCTCTTCCTTAACCATTAATGTAAATCAAATCAAAAGTAAGAAGTTAATCAGAAAAATGAGAATAGACCTGGGAACAGCCTACACCCACTTTCTGAATGTCAAGTTCTCAGATTGCAATTCAACAAACACTGCTCTTTCTTTCCACTAAACTGTCGGGCGTGCTCTGTGCTCCTGTTAGAGATGGACTCTTGACACCCACGGGAAGGGCACCTGCACTGTGCCCACCTGTAACAAAAAGCATGGCCTGTGGATATCGCAGTCCCTGGCTCACAACCTGCCTCGATCAAGAAACCCAACCTCTCTGCTGGGGATTACGACTCTGCAGGGTGCACCTCTGCGTTACAAAAGAGAGCAGCTACTGAGTCCTAGCTAACAGTTTCGCTGCTAAGCAGCTTGTTATCAGTAACACACTCTTCAAACTCCCCTAGTAAATTACAGCTTTAGTAAATTTCTACCTCAATTAAACATCCTTTATTTGGATTTTATTTTCCTTCAATCTGCATGGCAAATAATCAGATTTTGTTTCAAGCTATGTCAGCTCTCAGGGATACTGCACTGCCACTCCACGTCTGTTGTGATGCTCAATGTCTCTAACGAAGTAATCTCTCTATAGTAGGGCTCTAGTTACAGATGTGAACAACTTTCTGTACGTTTATTGGGCAAACTCTTCCTATTTTTGTGCAAAGATCTGGCACAGTACATTTCATGGGAAAATCCAAACGCGAGAGAAGAAAACACGAAGATTTAAACAACAGAAATAAAGCCTACAAATATCCAGTTCATGCAGTTGATAACTTGGCTACTCAAGGATCGGAGCAGTTGTTCCATAGCAATAAATTTTCATATCAAAAGCAATTACTGATGATTCACTCTATAGGGACAAACATAGCTTTGGTCATGGGTTATTGTTATAATTCCCTCCTCATCTGAGGGACTCTATATATCTGTAACAGACCAAACTTCTAAATCGTATGGTCTATTTCCTAGTACACCCAGGTTATTGAGAAAATGCATCACCTTTCAAAAATCCCCATGTTTTGTGCTGATTCTCTATGAAAACTGGTGCTCAACTGCCGAGAATTTTCTCCTAGCAAAATTAAGCTTCTTGTCTCGGCATTGTAAAACCTTACAGGAGCCGCAGACCTAACGGCAAGAAGAATTGTACAAGTTCTCAAGAGAACAGCGAGGTAGCGTACAAATACCTTGTTTCTGAGCGCACACCTGGTGGATATATTATCCAGTCCTTAATTACCAGACCCTGTGAACAAGCCTGCTTGACCACCCGGTTCCTCTTCTGAGAGACAACCGCAGAACCCTGCACAGCTAAGGGGCACCCTGAATCATCCACGAGACACAGTGAAAACACGGAACAGGACGAATGAAATGACGATTTGTGAATCAGGCTCTTACAAAATGATGCGTATCAGATGTTAGGCAATCCCCTGTTGGGGATGTGGAAGGAGCTTTCAACATAAAGTCCAGCTGTAGTATTCACAGCAACTAGGTAGTAAATCTTGTTTTGATCTGATTTCCCCCAAACCATGTCTTTCAGCAAGTATTTATGATGCTGAATTCAAATACATAAATTTAAAAAAAAAGGTAATTTGTTTTCTCAATTTCTTTTCCACATTGACATTAAATAGTGGCTAGAAAGTGACCATTTCAAATTATAACTGAAAATTGCATTTTTATTAAATGTGAAAAGATGGACCCAAGAAAACTTTTATACATTTTTATGGCAAGTTTTCCCATTACATGAGAGGCTTTCTTACACATCTTAAGCTTAAATGAAGACAGTGACCAAACAGAAGTTTGGACTAAAACTGCAAAGCTGTTGTTAGCTATGTTGAGGGAACTATGGCTGCACAACTGAAAACAAGATGGAAGGACAAGTTCACAAAAATAGCTCATGTAGTAGTGAACAATGCTCTAATAAAGTAAGAAACAGAAGAAAGCCAAATCTGTTCTGCATATCAGTACTAGATACGTAAACATGCTCCTGCATTGGTAAAATCTTTAAAATTTGAGCTTCTAGACTGTCCAGGCTTGAGCATGGTTTTAGCATATTAGCAGCCCCACTTTCCTGAAGGACATTACTTTATTCTTAAATCTGTTCAAAATTACCTCTGTGCAGGCTTTATTTCAAACAAATGTGGATGCGTTTGCAGGATCAGAGTTTTAATGTGCTGAGCAGACAACCCATTTGTTTTCTCTAAATTTGTTACTGTAATTTGTTTCCAAGATAATAGCAGATAATTTGCATGCATGCACTCAAAGCGCTATTTTAGATAAGGACTTTTTTCTTGTTTTTCAGGTTGAAATACCATTTTGGTAATTTCACCAGACCCTCTATATTTTGCTCTATTTACTCAGTTTATGTATTGGCCAAATAATGTCACACCTCAGATAAATTATACATTTCACCCAGATCAGGGTGAAATCCTACCAAAAAAATGACCTCATGTGAGTGGTTCCATCAAAGTTTGAGCAGGACAACTGGCATAAGCAGCAGCTTATACCACCGAGCCACTAATGTCGGGAAAGTAGAGAAAGCTGCACGTGCTAAAATTTAAATCTAGCTCACTCATTTATCTCTGCGTGTACTGACTTTTTATAGCTGTTTCGTATCATTAAATCCTGAATTAGATCCTTGGTATGATCAGTTAGAAGATAAACGAGCTGTCACCATTGAAAGAGGTTTTTTGGGGTTTATTTGAAAGATGTGCTTTGTCAGGATTCTCATCCTTAGCCCCCAACCAAACCCAAGCATATTTGGGACAGGAGCCATGGTTATATCATCACTTACACTGAATTAAAGAAAAATAAATTTACCTCTTTTTTTTTTTTTTAACATCATTAAGCTCTATTTTATATTCTCCAAATGCAAATCTATAGTGTCCAATCTTGAAGAATCCAGGCCATATATAGCGACCACAACAACAAAAAAGAATCAAGAGCTGACTAGGCACAGGAGATAACACTTAAAAATAATTAACTGATCTGAGAAATAGAAATCATTGCAACATGTATCAGCTGAAAATTCATTTTGACTGGTAAAGGGAAAAAAAGAATAAAATGTTCAACTCTGAATATTGTGACAGCTGGTCCCTCATTAAATTACCCATCTGATTCCAAATAATCACTACATGCAGTATTTCATTTGCTAGCCACAGAACAGGGGAAAATTCAAATGATTTTTATCCAGTTCAAGAAGCTCTCCTTCTGACATGATTTGCTACCCATAAAGAAGCAAGAGTCTACTCACGTCTTCCTAATTTGAGTTATTTAAAATAAACAATTAGCCTGTGTACTTCTCATTGCATATTCCCATTGCAAGGGAAAGCATCAGCTGGATGTCCTGGGCCATGGGGCATTTAGTCCTACATTAAGGGGAGCCAGCTGCTAAGTCTGAAAGTCGTCACCGTCGCTGAGTACGTGACCCGTTGGTGGTCTGGGCTCTGCACCCAGAAGGCTTCCAAATAAAAAATGGCAAATGTGGCCTCTGATCTGGGGACTGTCACTCCGAGATGTCTCCAAGCCAGGCTGAGGCACGTTTGCGTCACTGGGCTGCATAAGGTGCATCCAAGGCTCAACTCAAGGTTATTGCTATGTTTTTTACATGCACCAGACTCACTCCACAGTGGAGGTGGGGGGGAATCCGGAGTGCAACTGTAGCTCTTCCTTATGCTCAGGCAATTAGGAAAATAATGCCACCCATACATGCAAATATCCAGGTATTTTTTAACACACATGTCAGGGTACATGCTTTACATGTGATTCACACAGCTTCTTCCGTGCCCTAAACCCTGTTCTCGCCTATGTAAGACTTAGACATGTAGACAAAATCTGGGTATGAATACTCCTTTTCATACGTTTATGCAGCCGGTAAAATACTGCTTTCACTGTGAAATTCACAAGCGAATCCCAATTTCAGCTGATTTCTACAAGGCCAGAATATTTGCCAGGTTTCTCACAGTATGAGAGATCCATTACTCCCTATTTTTGCTAATCTTTCATCACTTCTGTTTTTAAAAAGCTTTACTTTAACCTTGCCTGAAAGATCCATTTACAGAATCATGATCTATTTATTTCTGTACTAAAAAGAGAAATCACTCTAAAAACCCAATGTGGAAAAACTATCCCTGCACCACTTAAAGCAAAATTCCTCCTGGAGCTGGACAAGTACTGATGTTATCAATAATGCTGTTGCATAAGGACAGATATAAACAGCAGTTATATTACACACTGGTATGTAGTACATTAGAAACATAAGTGGGAGTGAAAAGTCAGTGCTTGGAAATACTCTTTCTTTCCACATTAATACTCTAGATATGATGAAAATCCTACAAGGATTTACAAGCAAAGGAAAGAAAACAAATGAACAAGCAAAGAGCTCTATGTGTATTTTAAAAAAACCCCAAAAGGTTACTTATAATTTTAAAGTTGAGATCGTTTTCTAATGGTTTTCATTTGGATCTAATGGATCATTTTCTAATAGGTGCAGAAGCTATGCATGGTTATCATCACCTGACCTTACTGATGCACGTGTAGGTAACTTTACTCACGTATGTAAGCACAGGGATGTAAGCATTCCCTACAGAATATAAGATGATTAGGTTTCCTTATATCTGATTAAAATTCTAACAATAAGATATGCAATGAGTATTCAAGCAGATCTTCCAAATCTAAAATTTTGCAAGCTTTGGGCATTTTTTATTCCACCAGTCTGTGGGGTTATGTAGGGAGAAGAAGCACTGGACATACCTAGTAACTAGCAATGTCAGGACACAGAATGACAGGCTACGAGAAGCAGGGCCTGATCCTGATAATTTTGAGCCAGGAATGTATTTACTGAGATTTAATGCTGAGGATCAATGCAACAATGTTTAGTGATATAAATGTCTTGGAAAAGAAATGGGGAGGGGAAACAAAGATATGCTGGCAGTAAGAAAAACTGTACAGAAGGGAGTTTGAAAGAACTCCAGAAGAAAAATTATGTGCTTGAAAGGATGTTATGCTCTTGTGTATAGGTTAGGGTAACACATTTTGAGAATGATATTCAATGTGTTCCATTTAAGGGGTTTCTTTGCATGCGTTTAATTTAATGGTCAGACTTTCATCGTTAACAGGTGCCTGTAAGCTAAACTACTGTAGATAATGCCAAATTCAGAAAGAAAAAAAAATTAAGTCTCTGATTAGCACTAAGCCCTGATTCTGCTTAACTTTGCCAGCTTAAGAAGCTGCAGTGGCGGCATGTGCTTTGTCTTGTAGGAGAGCCCTGAGCGATGCCACCACGGCCAGCTGCCGCGTGCTCAGTGTACACACGGTGGCCAGCAGGAGCCCCAGCCTGGCATGGGACAGCGCGGGGGGTTCCCCTGGAGATATGCAACAGAGCCCAGATGCACTCAACGGTTCAAGAGCTCACTCGAGGGCACACTTACCTGGTGCATGGCACTTGATGCATCGTTCAGACATGGCCATCTACCTTAGTCCAGTAGCAATGACATCGTCTGACTGAAACTAGGCAGAAGAGAGTCCTAAAGTCCTTCTTAGAAGGCTACCAAGGATAATATAGGTGTCAAATGCAGGCTGCAAAGATGCCTGGACTGTGCAGTGCTTATGGGAGAAGCTGGGGTGCACTGGGGACACAGCCACTGAAACCAGTGGTGTTAGTGACAACAGCAATGGGTCTTTGGAAATTAGATCGGATTCTGTGGTTTTGTAATTCAAATCAATAGCAGGGGGCTTCTAGCATCTTTTCAGACAACAACAAAGAGTTTTCCAAAGACAAGCAAATGAATGTAACCTTCATAATCACTAGGAATAAAGACCACAAAACCATATAATGACTATCTAGTTTACGTTTACAACTAATCAAAGTAGTTATTATTACTAAAGAATAATGCTACTAAAATCTTTTGATATTTTAACATAATTTTAAGCCTCCCAAGATTTTCATCTTTGAATAGCCCTAACAGGAGAGTAAAAAGCATTACACCTTTTTATTTTCATATATTATATATGTACACATATATGTGCCTGTATATATAATACATGTCAATAAAAACGAGCTAGGAGATTGTAGTATTCCTTACACATCCTGTTACGTGCAGCTACCATCACAATTAGCCCATTACACACACTTCTTTATCACAAGCTCATAAAAAAACCCTCCTTGCAAGACTTGTTGGACATAACTACATCTCAGAACTGCTCCTCCCAGCTAAGTGGCTCTTCTATATGCAAAGTCCAAGGAGGGGACTTTGCTTTTTGTCTGTGGCATGAATTTTTGTTCAGCCACTTTGTGCCCGCACCGCTGATCATCAACCTCTTGATCACTACACAATTGAAAACTTTTGTTTTCTTGGGGGAGCTGGAAGTCACTAGAATCTAAACGTACCATAATCTTGGTTTTAGAGCTTTGCCTGAAGAGACATGGGATTGCTTCCAGAAGTATTTCCTTTAAGACTGTGTGCCCTTTCTCCATTCTATGCCCAGCTTTCACGTCTAATAGGCTGACTTCCTTATAAAATGGCCCAGACCTTCGCTCCCCTTCTGTTCATGGCAAAAGGTAAGACCCTCACAAGCCTAGTAGTCATAAAAAGTTTACTCTATCATTTTGGCTCTAAAAAAGAAAAAAAGAAGATTGTTTACTGGAAAGTTTTGGGGGAATTCATTCTGGTAGATGTGGTGGAAAATATGCACCCAAGTAGCAGGGTGACCTGATTTTTCTGAATGGGCTTGGGAAATACTGTTTATAGTTAGGTCCATAGACTGTTATGATTCGGCTGAGAATTACTGAAAATGGGAAACAGAATAGTAAATTGCTAGAAAAGGATTTGGTGATAAGGACTCTACCGTATTTCCACTAACTACCACCCCTACGGAAGATCATGCTAAATAGAAAACTCATTTCCAAGGGCAGAAGAAGCCCTGATACTTTATTGCTAGATTCTATAGCAATTGGAGCTCACTTACAGTAACCTTATAGTACTCTATATAAACTGAGAAGCTTGTATCAAATTCAGGCTTCCATTTAAAATAGATATTGCAGATATTAGGCTTCAATTAAAGAAGAGAAATAACCTTCAGTGCTTCTTTTTTTAAAGGCAAAGTATAAAAAAAAAATCACCAAACTAGGTGAAAATTATTAAATTTCTCCAAAAAATTAAGATGAGCTTTCTTCTATTTCTTGAGACAGTACATTTTGTGATTCACAGGGTAACTGGTAGCAAACACAAGTTAATGAAAGCTCTTACAAGCAATTTTATTCCTATCCATAATGGCAGACATTTACAAAATCAGAAGAATTTATCATTTGAGTTCACCTTAAAAAATAACTTATAAAGCAGTGATATATGCAACATAAAACAGTTCAGGAGGGGAGAGGGAAAGCAAATTTTAATAATTAAAATGTAAACGTGAAAAAAAAAAAGGAGGAATAAAAGTCCCTACTTCTCATTTCTACTTAAGATGTCATGTGATAGTATTTTTACAATGTCCTGTGGGTCTATATATGTATGTGTGTATTTCTATATCACACACACATACATATACATTAACCCACACATGTACATACATAGATAATTGTTTGCAGTTCCATCTTGGGCAGTTCTGTTACGCCACTCTTTACAGTTGTCTCAATCATGTTTGGGACCCACTGTCTTGACAAAACGGGGGAGATGGTAGGAAAAAAAATAATGGTGGGTCTGATTGTGTCTGAGATCCTTTTGTTAAACTGTACACTGGGACGAATAATTTTCTTCTGCAGTAGCTCTCTGAAGAGGGCCAACTCACTGTGGTCTTCGTGGCGAGACTTGTTAACAGATCACACACTCATTGTCATGCTAGGGGAGTACTGAAAAAAGAGGAATCCACATTTTAACAACCATTTCCCCCCCTCAGGTAACTAAAACCACTTCTGGACCACAGCAATGAGTTCACATGCCAACATGCTCTTTGAAGTTCTTCCTAAATTTGTACTGTAGCCTGTGCTAAGGCTTTAGTTCAATTTGTGGTATCAAGACTTCTGTTATGCTTCTCTCCTTATGTAAAAATACAACTATTACTGATAAAGCCAGCTCCCTTGAAGACTGTTTCAGTGTTACCTGGGTGGTGTGATGAGCCGATACTTTGCTGATGCCTTCCAGACCTTTTCCTGGTCAGTGTTGGCTACTGGTGGGGTTTAGATAGGACAACAGCTAGTCTCAAGTAGACCAGCTGCATTCATGGTTAGCTGAGCCACAGAAATATTTTTGAGACCTTTTTATTACTTTATGGAAAAAATGGAGTGAAGATATGTCTGACTGGAATTGAACTAGGTTTTTTAGTCTGTATTATTTTGTATTATTTTGTATTATTGATCTTCGGAGGCAAGCTGAATCAAGGATCAGTGGTCACTCTCCTTTATGTGAACTAAAAATTCAATCACGGCATTACATTATTATTGCAACACAAACTGAACTGCAGCACTTATACAAGCTATAGTTGCCCTTAAGTTAGCAATACTTTATTACAATACACCACAATGCCTAGAAGTGCACATCTATATGCCTAATTTGTTTATAAACTGAAAATTGTGGACTGCAGAAACACTTAATTTGGCCTAAAATCTTCTAAGTAGAGGAAAATGTTCAAATGCGTGAAGTATTAGCATTACAAAAAACGATACAAGAAACAGAAAGGTAAATTTGCTTTTGCAAAACCAGATGCAATAAAAAACCTGTCAAAGCTAGAGTTTCAAGCTGGTCATTTCCAAGTGTTGAAGCATATTAGAAGTGTTTTGGATGGGTCTTCCCTGTCATGTAAACTGCATAGAATGGACTATTTAGGTAAAGTCTATTTTGTCCCATGTCATGTCTCTGATGGTCTGTCCATCGTGTGCTGTGCACTCCCACTGTGGGCCAGCAATGCTAGTAAGAACATGCTTATCTTCAGCCAGTGTCAGAGACCAACTCAAATGCTTAAAGCAAAGCATCTGGTTGAAGTGATTGCCTGTATCTGAGCCAAAGTATCTGGGCAATCCCTTTGGACAAGGAATCTAAAGATGATCTGGAGGTGTTTGTTTGCGATTTTTAACTTCTTATTAGTCAAGCACTGTTCCCCACCCTGCAGCAAAACTCCTGGTGAACTCAACAGCAAATTTCCCTGAGAAAGGACTTCATAATAATGCCTACTTTAAGTAGTCAAGTAATGAAATATGAATCAGAAAGCCAGACAGTTCCCAGAGACTACAATGTGACTTCTGTTAGAGAGGAACTGATAACTAGAAGTAGACTAGAATGCATGTGGCAGGTATAATGCATGCCGTGTAGGCATACATCTCACGTAAAACCTTGGGAAAACTGGGTCCTAGGTTCTTCCAGGAAAATAACATCTAAGAGCACCTAGAATCCAGTAACTGTCTGAGAAAATGGATTTTCTTTTGAGTGTAGCTGATGTCCTTCTTTTCATTGCTGTAGTTTGGTGAACTGGCTTGCCTGCTGGTCAGACTGCCTGCCCTCGGTACAAGCAATGCATACCAAATTGAGAGTCAAGGATTACCACGACCAAGGACCATGTTTAACGGAGGTTCTGTGGCTACAGTTTTTGTGGCAGGTATTGAAACATCAGTCTTTTTGGGCTGTGCAAACCAATTTTCTCCAATCGTCCACACAATCTGAACATGTGCCCTCGTTCTGAAGACACCAACAGCTAACATGCAGAAACTCTTCACTAGAAGCAAACCCCCAAAAACCCCACATCTGATTCCCATGAAATTTGCCATGCAATTCCACTGGTTTGTGATCTAACAGAAACTGTTTACTGGTAGTTTCTGAGCTGAAGTTCACCACTGGCATAGTTAATGAAGTTGCACTCACTTCTGGCAGCAGTGATTTCCAATAAGAATAGAAGTGTTGAAGTCACTCAGCACTTCTGAAAAATCAGGCCACTCCTATTTAGGAACCTAAATGTGGATTTAGAAACCCAGCTTCAGGCACATGAGTATGAAAATACTGTAGTCGTGCTTTGTAACGTGTTTTACACCAAGTTTTGCTGCCACAAGCATTCTCCATGTTAAAAAAAAGCATAATTTGTACCAGAATGAACACTAGAGGGAACCTTTGCTTTCTCCGGCTCTAATAGCCCACTGCATCTTTGCAGCATGAGATCTGCTGGTGCTCTAATTATATATTTCATCGTGAGTCGTCTTCTAAAGAAAAGACATTCCCCACAAAACACATTGTTTGGGAGTCAAAGGTTGGGCAACCACACATTGAAACACTCAGATGTAAGGATCTGTTCACAGTGTGTATTTAGGCTGCTTGGATATCGCCTCACAAACGCCCATTGTATGTTCAACTGAATACATGAGGCGTAATTATTACTGCTTGACAGATCTAACTTTCATTGACAACTGACGTCTTAATCTAGAAAAAGAGTTTCTGCAGCAAACCTACACCTCCCACATTTTCCAGTTTCAGCTCAACTTCTAGCAGTGTTTTGCACATTTTTTTGTCCAATCAATACTATAATTTAGAAGCTAGTAAAAAACACAAAAAGCACAGTACTGCATTACAAGTACACTACAAACCTGTTTGTTCTTGCTGTTATTTTTCTTTTCTTTAAATGAAATGCCAGAGATAAAGGTTCACAACTGCAAAAAAAACCCTAGGTAAAGAAATACTTACGCTCTCACTCTGAAAAGGGTTTAGGAAGTTTCCACCCATCTCACCGTCATCCCTGGGAGTGCCAGGCTGATTACTCATGCTCATATTACTGGGAGAGTTCTGTTAAATAAGATTTAAAAATACAGATTAAGTGTTGAAGATCTCAGTTCCTTTCCCAGCTTCACCACGTGTGCCAAAGGCACGCTTCACACGATACCGCAGTGCACAAAGGTGCACTGTTCAATACACCGAGGCTTCCAAAGATGAAAAACAAGCCTCTGTGGGGTTCTGCATGATTCAGTCACTAATTTTAGCCTGTAAAGGAGTATTTTCTTCTCTGAGGCAAGAATTATTTATCTGTAATTCTTGTTTTCAGGTTATAGCCAGCATCTTCTCCTACTGAAGTCAGGAAAAGCTGTAAATGGCTTCAGCAGGTATATGAGGTAGCTCTGTCACCCCATTAAATCGTGGAAAAGTTCAGTGAAGCCTGTGAGCCTGTCCCTTGACGTATGTGACTTATGAATATGTACTTAAAGGCAGACATGTGGACAGACCCGGTCTATGCAGAGCTTTGCCTGGGCCTGAGGTCTTTGTTCCAGTGTTCACAGTCCACTGAAAGACAGTTTCACAAGTGGCTCAAGTGCTAAACCACTTCACTGAGTGCAGCTAATATACAGTGTTTATAGGTTAAAGAGTTAACAAGAGTTTTAGATAAGACTCCCGAGCAACAGCTGGACGCTGGACTGAGCTCACAAACGCTTTCAGGAGGAGCTGTGCTTGTGCTTTTGCTGTTTGCTTGCACAGAGCATAATGCAACAGCATTTTAATCTACCTTTCAGTGTCTAGCTGTAACTCAAATGCTAATAAACAATAATATGAAGGCTTCTGAAGATAAGTTCCTTTTTTTTTTTTTTTTTGTGCACAGCCACCTCTGCAATGTTCAGAAAATGCTTTCACGATTCAGTTATTTAAAGAAAGGGTGAACGAGGTAATTATCACAGAAATTATTCTGAGTCAATAGGTAATACATGATCATTGTAGACACTACAATTAGGTAGGTGTTTCTACAAAGCTGATTTGTGGTACCCTACCATGCCTGGAGCATGGGTGAGTCTCTTTCCATTGTTGTTAAGGCTCCTGCTTGTAGAGGATTTGTGATGGAAAAGGAGCAGTCAGGGAAAGGAGAGAGTGAAGTCATGAACTTCATTATGAAACACTTACGTCTACCACAGTTCCTCCCCTGACTTTTTTTTCTTTTTAAACCCAGAAAAACTGAATGCAATATTGCTGTTGAGGTTTTACTTATACAAATGCAAATCTGGTGTGTCACAATAAATTTAACACAAATTTAGTGCAGTCAATGGGCAAGCCAGCAAAACGCAACTCCAAGTAGTATTCTTGATCAAAGCGACCAAATCAAAACGGCTGTAGGAATCCTAAGTGAATTTCTTCTCTTTTTCTTACATTACTCTCAGTTGCAATCCTGACCCAGGGTGTCTGTTAGCACAGAGGTTTTTTCTTAAAAAAATCAAGGTATTTTGCGCTTTGAAAATACCTGCATGCAGTCTTCATTTACTATAACTAAATCTGCAAGAGGTCAAACTTTGACTGAAAAATAGGAAACATTTAAAAAAAAGAGGAATTTCCCTTAGTTTCTTGGCACTTTCCTCACAACTACAAAGGCTATCTATCCTACCCTGGCACTTGAACCACGTATAGTGGAGTAGTCACTGAATAGAAAATGGGATGGGACAGCTGTGACTTCAACTTCCCCGTCACACCACATTTTCGCATGTTCCTCTCTGTAATCATGAAGACCCATGTTGACCACTCTCCATAATTTAAATACTGCAACATATTCTACTGTTCACAGGATTTACTTCACCTCCAAAGAGAACAAAAAACATTGCTCCCAGCTTCCCTAAATACCAAAACTTAAATCAGTTACTTTTTGCAGAGTGGTACGCCCAATGGCTGTGCATACTGCCCGCTCTGCGGTGTATTTTGTACGGCTAATGAAAGGCTGCTGTTGAGTTTTCACTGTATTCCCCTGAGGGAAGATCACACTTCTCAGTCTGAATGGCCAAGTATGTTTATGGGCTCAGCTCAGTGTATTTATTTTCAGTTATAGATTAAGATTAAATATAAAATTAATTACGTAAGTGACATGCAGGCATTACTGTTTTTTCTTAGCACCTGAAATGCAACTTAGAGAGTCGGGTCAAGACCCCTGCCTTTGCCCTTTTGCTTTCTCGAGTCTAGTTCACTGCTTCTGAAATGCTGATCCCCAGATCTCCAGGAATCACTGGACAACACGTCCATCAAAGACAACTGAAAGCCTGACTAGTTAATTAACTTCTGACAATTTAAGTTTGCTATTCAGAGAAGTTAGTATAGAAAGTATTTTGGGATCCACAGCTTGAAAAAGGTTGAAAACTATTGCTTTAGCTCAACCACAGCTATTGTATGTGAAGCAGGAATTAATCCAGGGAAGTCCTGTTGCCTGTGTTATGCAGGAGGTCATACTACACCATCGTATCAGTCCCTTCTGGCCTTAAAATCTATGAATATAAAGTTTAAAGCCCACTAAGGCCTTGTCACATTTACTTTATATGATGCTCCCACCCTGTTGCTCATTCCTGGGGGATTTACCCCTATTTTATCTTGCTCTGTGTAGTGCAAAGCTTTGAAATTATGCAATTGCTACAGTATGCCAGCCCCAAAGGTTCAAATTCCTGACATAAATGCTTTCATAGCAACTCCCTGGGCTGCTTTTACAGCCAGTATGGGGTCTAGCATTGTACCACTAGCTAGAGTTTTTCCAAAGCAAGTATGTTTTTGATGCCTGCACAAATTCCATGGGCACTGCAAGGAACACTGGTTATTAATGTTTATTTAATACGCATCATTTCAGTTCATTCACTTCCCCCATCTCAATCTATTTCATAAAAACTTCATGTTTTGCCACTCAGCCAATTAAATGAAAATCTCCTCTAGAAAATGTAGCTCTGAATTCTGTGAGCTGTACCGATTCTACCAAGACTGGTGTAATTTTCTGCATCTCCTGGGAACTGATAATTAGCTCCTCTACTATGCATTCTGCTCCACTGAAGTCCTATGCCTGGGCTTGAGCATCTCACCCCCCCAAACTGCGTTAACTTCAGTGAACAATTTCTGTCACTGGAATCTACTTGTGAAAAAGCCAACTGCAAGACTAGCCGGTGACGCATGCAGGAAGACTGTTGCCGTAACAAGAACAATCCTTGTAACTGCGTACCGAATTGGAAGGCAGCCACTCCTAATAATTTTGCATCCATCAACCCCAGAAATCCACTATTCCTTGCAAGCAGAACTCTTTCATTCAAGTTTCAAAAGCATTGTGTACTGTTACCTACTCAAAATTACAAATGCTACCCCCACACTTCTACTACTGTCAATGAAGGCTATATATTGGGGCAGTGCTACTCAGAAAGACATTTAGAAGCTACTATATATAAGGGTGTAACAGGACAACTCTGTTAGTTCCAAAGCAAACAGCATTTCTCTTTTAGTTATTTAAAAAAGACATGCATTAAATGTGATTTCCATGAGGTATTTATTCTGGTTAACAAATCACAAGACTTCCAGGTAAATTTTTGCATCCAAGTTTTCAGAGCTGCCGATGCTTTTATTAGCACATACACTGATACTTAACACCAGTGAGTTGAATACAGGCTTTTAAAAATGATTCTATGGCAGCTAATGGAAATGGTTTGGGTTTTTTCCTTAAAAAATGCTGCAGTTTGCAATAAAAATACCAAAGAAAAATATATGGACATTGATTTTAGAAGTGCTGTATGCTTATTATCTCATTGGAGGCTTTTAGTAATCCATTGCTGCACATCTAAGCACAGCACAACTAAGGCAACATGGTCATCTCAATCCATTGTTTTACTCTTTGCAGAGGCAGAAAATGTTATAGATCTTAAAAATGTACAAAAATACAGGGTTTCTGTAGATGCTGCTCCCTCACAGGAGCAGTAATGGCCTTGGACACATTGCTGAGCTCCATATCTCCAGGCGAGATACACACTAAGGACACTTTGCAGGGTACCCCTCTCCCATACCAGACCACCAGAAGACCACAAACTGGGGAACCGCACAGGGTCCTCTTCCTCCTCTTTGGATATACAAATATGTATCCCTAAGTGAAGAATGGTTCCTGCCTTCTGAACACCTGGAAGTGAATTCTCAACAAGTTCATGCTACAAACTTCTGCATTAACCCATGGGAATTCAGGTGAGCATTTTGTTCCCTATGCGTTGGCATCTCATCTCCTGAGCACAGACCTACAGCAAGGTCCCTAGAGCAACTGGAGCATGTGCAGACCAGCCTTAGACAGATCTGAAGTGGCGAAGTCTGCACTGTGGTGCTTGGTCCTGGGGCAACCAAAACACGCCAGCAGTTGACATGCTCAAAACAAAGTCATACTCCTTTCTTGGAAGATTGTTAAGAACTTGCTACAAAGGAATAAGTTATAAAATTTTAACTGAAACAATATCTTCATCAATTTCTGCACAAAAGTGCAGGAGAGTGTTGTAGTGATATATTTATTAGTTTCATTCAGTTACATCTGAAGGTGCTGAGTATAAAACATAGTGTTTTGGTGGGGATAGATTTATGCCACTTTATCAATACCGAATAAATTCATTAATTCCTAAACTAATGAAGATCACATACATAGTCATTTTATTTTTATGGAAGAAGTGACACATTCAAGCAAAATATTACTTTTGTAGATGTAAAACCCCTGCAGGTTAAGCTCACATTCATTTTCAGTATACTATTTACTGGTTGTGATATCAAAGCAGTGCTTCTTCTGAAACTACTTTTTAATCTAGTTTTTAGGAACTCATACTAATGATTAAGATATTAACATTGCATTATAGTGGTGACAAAAGCAATCATGCAGTGCGTAGAAGTTACATCCTAATGACATTTTCCCAAATTTACATTTAACTAGAATTGTTTATTAGAACTATATTAATTTGTCTTAACAGTATGGAATATTATAACATGATCAATCAGATTATGAACTGGATATTAATCACATTCATTAATACACATTATGATGCGGTAGGAACTAAGTCTACTTATACTCCCCATTGATTATATTGTTTTTACATTTTCAAGTAATATGAATTCTGTCTGCTCAGCCTCTGAAGAGTTGAGAAGCAGAAAATGCAGACACGTAATAAAAAGCTTCATAACAGAGACAAAGAAAATACATTTAGAATGAAATATTCTAAAAATTCTAAATATTTTACTAGATACTCACTTTGGAAATACTGTCCATGTCTCCTGAGCCTTAAATTAAAATAGACAATTACTCAGTTAGTTTTGAGATGAAGTTAATCTAAGAACTTTTTTCATAGTAAATACATAGTGTTACAGCAATATTTTAAAACATAACCAACCATGCATCATCTCACTTTCTTCCCCACGTCTCTTTTAGTAGAAGTTTACATTCAGTACTGAATAATGTTGGTCCTCTCTCTGTGTGCACACCCAGTGCAAAAAGTGAGAAAAGAACGAAGGACACGCTTCTGATCTGTATCAGCTATTTGGGTGGCATCCTTTCAGGATGAAGCAGCCCAGCACAACCCAAGAAACCATCTGTCCAACCGTGGTAGGGTACAAGTAATGCAATTAATTTAGGGCATATCCACCTATCAGAAATGTTGCTTCAGCTTGAGAAAAAAAAAGGCAAAATAATGCGTAACTAGTAAAAGTCGATGTTCCTGGGGAAAAAAAAAAAAAAACCAACGCTATTTTTACTAAACTTCAGCTATTCAAAACTGCCCAGCAGTGGACTGTCTCTAAGGTCAGCTGTGAGGGCTTCATCAAAGTCTTTGGTCCCAGAAGCAGAAGCCTACTACTGAAATTGGCTGAAATGCCATTAACTTCTGATGCATTACAAATACTGATGATGACATTGTCTTTCAGAAGAAAGCAGATGATCCTGAGGACCAGAGTAACAGAAACCAAATAAAATGAAATATAATCAGTGCAAGACTATTGAAAAGAATTTTTTCTTCATGCTGTAGCTCTCACTCAGGTAAAGAATCAGAATAAAGGAAATATAAGTCACTCAGAATGAAGGAAATGCAACTTTAGCATGGATGTATCAAGAAAAGCATTTTTAGCAGCAGCAGACAGTAAACCATTCTGGTCACCTATTTTTAGGAAAGACAAATTCCAGAAGAGTACTGAATACAAAACTAGAAGAGTATTGGAGAAAAACAATCAAGAAAATTGAGTTGTGGGAGGGGACTGAAATAGCTTACCATACTTAGCCAGGTCAATTAAGGCTGAGAAGGAATACAATTTCTCTCTAGAAATACATCAGATACATATATGTTATGACGAGTAATTTCGTCATGGCCCAAAGGATAAATTTTGGTGGAAGTCAGGAAAAGACTCCTTTCTAACCATCAGAGCTATGAACAGATATCCAACAGAAGGGTTGTCAGGGAAGTTGGAGAAGTTCAGGATGGACCTTGACCAATTTATCCATCTGCTTAGGAGATACAGCTGCTTGCTGCAGCATGAAAATGAATGCAGGAGATCTCTCCCAGCTCTCCTTTCCTAAAAGCACTCAGGTTCCAGTTCAGATACCCCTACAAAGCAGTCATCATTAATTTGACTTAACACGTCATCATCTTCAACAGACAAAATAACTAACCAAATGCTAGGTACATGTAAAATCCTTCCATAACTGCCTAAATTTGATTTTTTCTTTCAGCTAAGAAATAATTCTCAGGCTATAGAAAGTGACAGAAGAAGATGTGATTACCTTTTACGCAGTTTTTCATTTATTTGAAATGTGATGTGCACAATTATTAATTAAAGCAACAATCCATTTTAGGATTGTAATATGTAAAGGAAGGCTGTAAAATCGTAAGGTGCCCTTATGCAAAGTAATCTAGGAATTTCAGGAACATGGTTTCCTAGAAAGAAAGACAATTCTATCAGGAGGTAGGTGCCTACTGCTGAATTTTAATCGTTCAGAACATGTCCACTAAATGAGGTTTGATGGCTTAGGTTTTTTTCTCATCTTGTCATAGCCTCTTCAAATTTCTCCCTTCTTCTTACCTGGTTATACTTCCTGGCTCACAACCTCCAGCTTTTGGGCTATGAGTGATGGATCTCCACCTACCCATGGCAGTATGGACTTAAATGGTATGGAGTTTAGGTTGGTCTGTGCTTGTGCTGGGAAGGTGACAGAGCTTTTCTCTGTGGCAGTTTGGTTTCTGCCTGCCTGACCTGGATCTAGCTTGCTTGGGTTTCTCCCCATAAGGGAAAACACTGCTCATCAGGGAGCTGCTCGTGCCCCTTGCAGGCATCAGGCCAGCTCCCATATGTAAAAAAGAACCTTGCTGGTGGACCAGGGGGATAGAAGAAGAAGGAGATCTAAAGTCCTTGCAGCCTGAAGTTTCCCCCTGTTGCTGCCTGCATGACCGACACCCCTTGGTGCAGACACAAGTGAAGAGTACAACACAAGAACTGCATTCAGAGCTACTGGCCTGGTGTTATGGCAGGAGCAAATAAAACCAAGGTTTTTGGAAGAGGAAGGCATAAATGTGATTTATTTAGCTGTGGCTTGTTTCTTAAATCCCTTTCAAGTGTCTGTCAGGCTTCCAGCAAAGAGTAAGAGCAAAGAGTTTGCTAGGATGGTCAGGAGATGTGTTTTGCAGAGTTGTGCAAGGCTTCTCCCCTAGGTTCAAGTCCTTCAAAAATCACAGTGTCAGAAGTCAAGCAGTACACTGTTCCTCCTGCCTCTGCATGCCCTGACAAGAATTAATGTTCTTTTGGGTGCATTAAAAATTGGCAGCTGTCTGAAGCTGCTAATGGGGATGGAGTAATAATATTCACACTTAACAGACATATGGCTAATTAGAGAACCAATGAAGATACCAAAATGTTGGGATAAAACCAGCTTAACACATACATCAAAATAGGTAACAACTTACTTCCAGGTAGCTGATAAGAACGTACAGCAGCATGTCACAATGACACCTTCCCATGATTTTCAAAGAGGAAGAGAGGTAAATAAAAATGGTTCTCAAGCCTTCACCTCTACATTACTGACATGGTATGCTTTTAGACTGATCTTCATCAACTGGATTAAAACTATACTCTCTTGCATAAATAAAACACAGTATTTTTCTTCCAGAGGTGCATGATGTATGCCAACTCATATGCTTAAAAAGTATCTTAATACTTCTTATTGATGTATATACAACTTTCTCAGTTTTTAAAAGAATTCTACATACAGTCTTCCACAAAACTCGGAGAACTGGTCATAGGAAATGGCACTAGTCATTGAAAATTCACAATGTTCGGAGTATTTACTATCATTACCTAATGATCCATTCATATGATGTGAATCCATTCCACCCAGTCCACTCATAGGTCCATCTGACCCTGGCCCCATTGGAAACTACAAAAGGATCAGACATTAAAAACTGGTATTACTGCACAGTTTTTTGTAGATAAATCTAATAAAAAGAAAATATTCCTCAGGGAAAAAAAAGTAAAGGAAAAATGCACAGTCCCAGCTCTGAATGCACAAATCGAGTGAAAGTCTTTCATGTGAAGACTGCAACAACATCATTGCTTTTATTCACTTTTTCCAATGCTACCTTCATGATCTTTGGAAAGTCTCACCTCTGTAGGCTGGAATGTAACTCAGGAATAATTTATTGTTTACTTCCACTTTGTGTATGACCTAGCTCTACTCCCACTGAAATTACAGGGAACTTTACGATTCTCTTCCATGAGTGATCACTTAATTAACAGCTTTCAAACTCCACATTATCCATCCTGACAACTGGACTAGTCCGCATTACCTTTGCAGCATGAGCAGTTTCTGTCAAATTTCAGATACTAACCTTAAATTTAGTTCTTCAAAATCTTAAAGACATTAATATTACAGAAAAATTTCTAAAATTCACTGCATAATGATTTAGCAATATCTAAATATCTATATTTTTAAGTTCTACTGGCCTTTTTTTTTTCAAAAGGCCCCTAATATGGATTGTGATTAAATGAATACGGTTGAAATCAGAGAAATGCAGTAAAACTGAAGGCACAGAGAAAGATCAGAGAAAAAAAAAAGTTCTACCTAAGAATCCAGATTTTTGTCAGCGCTAGAACTGCTGAAGTTTAGGCTAAAATAGACACAAGTCAACCAGTCCATTAGGCAAATACCTAAAAGTTATCAATAGGTTTCATTCTTAACATCCCATTTAGATAAACAGGGAAGTTTGTTTCTTCTTAGACGTATTCATTTTATCCTTTTGTACAGAATGGCGGGGCAACATAGTACTGGGTCACTTTCAGCAATTTTCTCCTCCCTTTTCAAGGGTAGGTACTTTTTTATAACAAAAGTTTGAATCCTGCAGAAACTAAACCTTAGTGGCAGCTCCTAGGATGACGTCCTATCGCACAGAAGTGTACTGCACCACAGTGTGACAAACTAAGCTGCCCCATGATCCACATGTAGAAGCTTCTAAGGTCTTTTCCATGTGGAAGAATATGCCCCAATCTTTACTTTGCATGTATTGTTGTGATTGATTTGGGAAACATTAAAAAGTACATGGTGCAGGGGAAGCAACTGAAGTGTCACCCATAAAAATGGAAAACTTAGTATTAATGGTATGTGATGGAAACATAGTTTGGATAAAAAAAGGCTGTATAATTCATAGAAGTATATAACTAGATTCATATTTACATTAGGTCTGTTGGGTCCAGGTGGTACTGCATTCATTAAAGTGTACATGTTGTCTCCAGAGTTGGTTGAATCTGTAATAAGAGATTATTTTAAGTGCTAATATATACCTTCCAGTAAAACTACTCATCTAATACATTTCCTGTCATTTTGTTCATATTATTTCTGTGCCTGAATCACTGATACACAGTGGCAATATAATGGAAGATATCATTCCCTTTCTATCTATTGCTACCACACAACAGAGCTATGAAAAGAAATAATTGCAATGGTCCCTAAGTGACTACTTCTAGACTCTAGTTTTATGCATGACTGTTAAAAGGTTTATAAATCACCAAGTATCTGTAACTATTTAATTCCATAAACCCTTTTTCCTGGAATTCCAAATTATTTCACTCATCTTCAATATTTTCTATGAAACAGGAGTTTCTTTCTTCTCAATGCTTCCTGTAATTTGTTTTCCATCTGTAATGGATGATAAATAGCTTCTCATTATACAGACTGCAAGTTAGTACAGTGAATGAATTTTTTTTTTTCTTATTCATGTCAGTCTATTTGATTTTGGATAGATCTATTTAGTGGAACAGTGTGCAAAGATCCTCGCTCTAAGGACAGCTTTAGCTCACGCATCTTCATGGTACAGTGTAGTGCAATTTTTCAAAAAACCCCCAAGTCTGAAACCAACAAAACCACCCTGGCACAGTGGGGTGCCTAAGCCAGCAACTTCTGCCAAGAATTCCACTTAGTCTCGCCTGATGTTGATCCAGCTGTATTGCATCTCAGTCCTTTCCCTCCATTCAATGCACATGAACTTTCAGATGGAGCACCTCCAGAATTAAAATGCAAGATTTAATTAACAAGACACAGAAGACAACCCACATAACTCTTCTGGCCGAACTTAAGAAACCAACGCCTAAGAACCATTAGTAGATATAAATTACTCATTCTGATCTCCAGCTTATCCCTGCTGCTAACACACCTGAAGTGTTACCAGCCTTCATCAATATTTGTAAGAAAGAGAAGGCAAAAAATGCAGCAAATAGACAAATTAGGCAAAAACCTTTCCCAAGGGAACCTGATGATAGGCCATGTAATGGAAAAGTTTACTGAGAGGACAATGACCTAAGGAAAGTCTACATACATCCCTAAAGGGATGGTGTGATTTAAAAAAGCATTGGCAACTCTGGAAATGCAGTACCTCTACAGTATCTGCAAAAGAATCAAGAATAGCTTAGGACTCTACCTAGCTCCTCCAAAAGACAATTCTACATCTTTGAACCAGAATTTTGAGATTAACAACACACGCAAAAAACAATGCTGAGCTGTAATTCCTTTTCCAAGACAAGATGATGGGGGACTTTTGACTCAGAAGTAGTGAAAGCAAGAAAGCTGAGACCAGACTGAAATGTGTTGGGAATGCGGCCTGACCTCCCGCAAGAATGTATTTGTATGTACAGTGGGCAGTTAAAGTCAAGGCCTTTGCCTATTCCTTACTCTTTCTGAGACAGTTTTCTAAGCATTCATTAGCCTTGGTGAGTAAGTAATTCCATTAAATACAGAGCAGTATGAATCACTACAACATCCAAATATGCTGTTTGAGGAAGAGAGGGAACAAAAAGCTTTTAGCCTGAAGTTATGATAGTTAAAATAGCACACACAGAGTTACTTTTAATGTTCAGTGAGGTAGGCAACAAGTTCTTCATCCACCAGATCCTTCTGAAAAACACATCCCTGGCTCTCCCCATGTTCTGCTGGCTCATGCGAAAATACCTACAGGTCAGTTGGGCCGTCGGAACACTCGGAGCTGGTTTATCTCAGAGGCAAGTTTAAGTACCTTTGCAAAACTCTCAGGTGGCCCATGTCCAATGGTTTTCATATGAAAATGGGAACAACTGCCAGCAGAAGCTTTATTTCAAATGCACACAGACAGCCTAACATGTGTCATAACTGCAGTGCTATTTTTAAAAGTGCAGGCTGTCCATAAGTTTTATGTTAAAAGAGATTCTAACTTTTAAATGCCAGCTTGCACTTATTATCTTTTTCACTAATAATATGGACATCAAGGAAGCCCTATGCATTATCTCAACTTGCATTTTTTTAAAGCCCTGGAATTGTATTTAATAACAATACTATATTGGTGCAAGAAGTTCTCATGGCCTGTTAGGAAACATCCCTACCCTCTTGTGCTGGAGAGGACAGCATGAACATGTAGGACATAAGGACTGACGATGCTGTAACATCGCGGAGGTGAACAAGTCTCTCTTGGATGATGCAAGTGAATTACAAAGGCAGATGTTGGCCAGAAGGCATAGCTACTTAATACTGGGTTACACAAGATATAATTAAGTTTCATTTTAGCAGATTTCTGATGCTGTCGACGGGGGAGAACAGCATCCTCCACATCCTGAAGTTCCACCTTCGTATCAGAATTTTTGCAGAACATCAGTGGAGGGAAATACTTACATCTAGTTGACCACCTTTAAGCCTTGAGAAGCTAGCTAGCCATCCTGAATACAGCCATCCTCCTCCTTTGTTCTTCAAACCTTAGTAGGAATGTGGCCATCTTTTGCATGGCCAAAATCTCCATGTGGTCAGAGTTGCAAGATACAGACCATGTTACTGGGGTACATGATGGGGCAGTTGAAGTTTTGGAAACAGGTCACCAGTAGGACATGACAGTGGTTGCTCTGGGGCATGCCTCCTCCACTGCAGGACACAGAAGAGCAATCTGTCCAGCATGACCTTGCTGTCAGTCAGATGACATAGCTGCAGGATGCAGCCATGCATGTTGGTCGCGTATTACTCAAGAGCCACACATTGGTCAGGTCTATTCCATAGGATACTACAGTAGAAGTTTTCTACTATAGAAATTCAGAAATCTCCTGATTGCCAAACTGGTGGAACTGCCCCAAAAAACACTAGCAAAAACAAATAAAGATTCTGTCTTCTTTCATTTTTTCCTTACTATTGCTGAAATTGTAGAAGAAAATATGGGCTCAAAAGCCAGAGAAATTAACTGCTTTGAACTTCACAGATGAAATGGTTTCTACCTACTCTATCTCTGCAACATAGCAGGGAAAGAAATAGTGAAAGTACGGGGAAAAAAACTGATACAGAAAGTACCAATCTAGTACTTTCTCATTAGCTGACTCTTCATTAAAATCAGTCTGAAAAATAATTTGGGTACTTCCTAAAATCCCTTATAATTATCATTATTTCCGAATATATTTCAGTACCTGCAGGACTAGGCATGATAGGTGTTCCTGGTGGCCCTCCACCTCCCGGAGGACCCTAGAGAGGGTAGAAAATGTCAGTTAGCATGAAAGGAAAAAAATACACAGTACAAATGAAAAAAAAAGTATCGTGAATGTCATGAGTTACTCTGGTAAAAACATGCACGTTTTCTGATAAGCTAGCAGAACAGCTCATCACAGATTAAGACAAGGTAATTGGTCAGCAAGCTCTGGAACAGACTTCTGATGTATGCAGGTATACAGACACGAGAATATCCATTAGTCAATAACTCCGTGTCATGCTGTGAGTCAGACAAGAGAAATGCTTGGAACAGGGCCTAAGACAATTATATTTAATTCCCTCAACCTACTTTTACTACCACTGAGTTTTCAGCTAACATTTCTGGTTTGTTGTACTCCGTACATAGTCAATGGCAGAGTAACCGATGTTTGCTAAGCATAAAACAAGGGGGTGTCCTGTGGGGGCAGAAGAGCCTAATCACCTTAAGAAAGCTTTCTTTTTCAGGCAGACTTGGTATCTCGATGCCATAGGCATCTTAATTCTGTCTGTGTAATATCCTACAATTTTTTAAAGTAACATCTGTATACATAATTTCTTCTCTAATTAATGACAAATGGATTAAAATGTCAGGATAATGCTCAGTACAGTCATATCACTTGCCCAGACTGCTAAATCAAAGATAAAAAAAACCAAAAAACCATCAAGGGACATCTATTTTCTTAGTTTCAGGTATTCCTGTGTTGCAAATCTGCTTTTGACTAAGAACTGTAGACAAACTGCTCTGGGTGTTAAACAAGCTTTTTAAGGTTCTTCTAAAAATTTCTCCAAGAATTTTATTCTTACCATCCTAATTGGTTAGTAAGAACAGAACCGTAACTCCTTGATTCCTATGTTTGCAGGTCCACTAATATATTTACGTAACATGAAAAACTACTGACTTCCAGTTTGATAAAAATGTCTGTGTCAATAAAAGTCAATAAATATTGACTTTCCATAATAAAAAATGCACAGATTGCTAACAAAGATTATTATTTTCATTACCATATGACCCTTTTTATATTTTTTCTCTTTTGTTATATTTTAAAATAGCAGATCTACTGTTGCAGGCAGAAACATTTTTTCAGCAGCACTGAATATAAAGGTTTGGTTGTTCCTGTCTGCTTGCAAGGACATTGCTGAGATCGGCTATAATTCACTGAGGTATTTTGGAAGGAGGCAGAGAAGTCTTGGATTTAAAACAATAGACCCTGTTTCTCAATGCCCTCCCTAAAATACCATTTCTTACAAAACATTTAGCAATAATATACTAACAAACACTATTTTCAGACAATCAAACTCAGTAACGTAGCAGCTTTCTGATTGATACCACTCCTCCCCGGGCTTCTAAAAGTAAAGTACTTGCAGGGGGAAGCATCTGTCTGCCAGGCACTCACGGTTAATTGTAGGTGAAACAGAAATCTTTTACGCAGCAGCAGCAACTCAACCCTGTAGTCAGTCAACACATATATACCTGTATGCCCTTGTATGTTACAGGACCTACCAGTTCTTTATCTTGTGCTTCCCCTTGTTCGAGAACTAAGCAAGGTCACTGAGTGTCTTTTATGAAACATGATGGAACAAAGGCTTGCTCCACCATGAGACCTACGAATCAGCTTAAAAAAATCAAGGCACAATCACAACTTCATTTCATACTGCCAGCAGCCACATAGCTGTTTTTCCCCCAAATTACAATTGAATGTGTTAGGATTGGGCTTGCCAAAACTGTCTGAAAGGTCTATTCAGCTCCTCAGCAACAAGAAATTCCCCCGTTGCTGCTGCAGAGCTACAGACTCTAAAATCAAAGGGACCTTTCGATCACATGTATGACCCTCTGGGCATCACAGGCTGTGATTTTTTATCCAGGTACTTGTGCACTAAGCTCGCCAACTTGCTTTTTTTACATTTACATATGTATTTTTCAGCATCACATAAAGAGGTGTAGAAACCACTAACTGGTCATTTATTAGAAAAGTTACTTATCACTATTAGCATTTGTATCTAAATTTAAAATTGCATTTACTTGCACTTTTTGTGTATTTTCTTCTCTTAGGAAGACTGTTGGCATCAACTATTTTCTCCCTGAGAACATATTAATATGTAATGGAATTATTTCTCAAAAATCTGTCTGATAAATTAACCAGACTAAGTTATCTAACTGTGTAGTTCCACATCATTATTCCTTTGGCTAAAAAGCTGCTTTAAGAGCTTTCCAGCCCACACCTTGTCCCCAAATGCTCTCTTGGAAGCTACTGCCCTCCAGTTTTGCTTATTTAGCTGTTTGTATGGCTGGAGTTCATGCATTCCTTCTCCAAAATGTGGTGAGCCTTTCTGAAGGAAGACTATTCTCTCAGCATCAGACAAGACATGCATTGTGCAAGCATTTATGTTGGCAGAAGAAGATTTCAACCCTTGGTCCACCACTATGCTCTGTTAGCAGCAGCCTCAGCTCTGCTTGGAGCTCCATCTGTGACTGTCCCTCCACCTATTTTGGGTGAACTGAAGTGCTTCAGCAAGGACCTGGTTCTTTAAGTGCTTCAGTCAGCTTCAGTTATTTTGGACAAAGAGGGTCACCCATTCAAGGAACTCCAGTGGCAGACTTGAAGGACTGGTAACCTTCAGTAGAAGAGTGGGGACAAGGAATCAGTCAGTCACCTTTCCTACCAGCCCAGCTGGAGTTCACAGAGCACATCTCATCAGAGGCTCAGGCATTTGCTCCAATACTTCAGTCTCTCATGTGCCTCATTCTGGCACCTTTGCATATCTTTTGACTTCTCTTCAATGTTGCCAATGAGATGCAACATTCCAGCATCAGTCTCATCATTACCACTGAAAGAGGTAAAATCACCTCTTTACTGTTGCTCCTCTTCATCTATACACTGAAGTATGGTGATGCCCTCTTTTGGCCAAGTCATTAATCCTGGCTGACCTTTGGCTTGATATGAGTACACCAACAGAGTTCGCTACTACGACCTGCATTTTACTTAGGTTTGCTTCTTTAAAATAATTTTCTATAGTATCTCCTTTTCTAGTTTCTGATGACTTCATGCTTTTAAAAAATGAGAATATGAGGTCAAATATTCAATAAAAACCTTCAAAATCTGCAACAACAACTGATCACTACTGTCTTGGGCAAAACCAACAAAACCTCTTCCCAGTAGAGAGAAATTTATGAAGTTCTGCGTTAGAAGAACTGGTTTGGAGATCAGCAGATTTGTGCTGCTTCCTCCAAAAATGGCAAAATGAGTACTACAGTTATGGACACCTAGGAAAATCATAAAATTTTTCACAGCTAAGTGTTTAAATAAAGGACAAAAGAAATTGCTTTTGTCTAAACAAAACAAGTTTATCCATGAACTCATCCTTCAGCTTTAGCTCTGCAGGATCATCTTTTTTACAAAGACTAAAAGTAAGAGAAACTGATAAGCAGCACAAACAGATTGGAAAAACGCTGGTATATTGTCCTCATGGTGAAGGACCTGCTATTTCTACATTCTGAAACAGCTTCAGTTTTTGTGCTGGTTAAAGCGAATGCCCTGCAGCTGTCTAATCTTCAGGTGATTGAACATGAAATATCAAAAGAGAGGTCTACTGAAACCTGACCGACCAACAGAAATTTGGATTCCAACATATATATATATATATAAAGTATATATAACATATATGGTTATATATTATATATATAATTCTCCCTTGTTACCCTGTGACACCAGTACTAAGCATGTGATAAAAACAGATGAAGCAATATGCCTTAGAAGAGTACATCAGAAGTACAAAAAATCCAAGTACAAATAATTCAAGTACAACAGTAACAATGATAATAAATAGCCTAAAAGGATAAACAAAGTCAATCTCTTGGGACAGAGATAAAACCAGCAGTATATACTCCAACAAAACCCATTTTGTAGATAGGTGAAGTGTATTTGTTAAATTCCAGAGACAGGGTTAACATTTCATGTTCTTTTGAATGACAGCTCAATGCTGGGCATATTACAAAGTTTTAATTATTTCATTCTAAAGTACAGACTAAGAAAAAACAATGATACTACTTAATGCATAATAAATTAAGACAATGTCTGTGAAATGAAGACATAAGAGACTATGGAGAAAAAAAGAATTTTCAGGTCTTCAGAAGATATTATAAGAGTAAAGATTTCCCTTAAAATGTTAGCTGTGAGGACCCATTTGTGTATCTTCGGGGAGATAAAGGCATGTTCTAATTCTTCAAATGCCTTTTATTCTGAAGAAGTTCAAAAACTCATAGACAATATTGTGTTACTGAGAAACCTGGAGGGGTTTTGTCCTTTATTATTGAAGACAATATATTGTATCGGTTATATAAAAGTTTGCTGAAATAAACCAGCACTTGGGGCCATTTTGACCAGACTGATAATGATTCTAGGAATTAACATCAACATACACTCCATAGATGGCAGAAAAAAACCTAAGTGCAGATCAGATGTTCAGTTCTCAACCGAAACACAAGTGTCCTATTTAACATCTGGACAGCTATTTTTTTGCCTAAATAAAATGTAACATCTATTCTAATAAGCAAACACACACAAGTGTACTTACTACATAGTTCCCAGGAGACGCTGAAGAATAAGGTATCTGTAATACCAACAGAAACATTAATTTCTTCTGCAGTAAGATGGAATCCATACATACTTTTATGTAAAGCTGTAGGTTAATGCTTATTTGTTTAATTTATTTCAAAGACATGGTTAAGGATTATGGAAAAATGCTATTGTTGTCAAAGCAAACACCTCTTCCTTTCAACAACCTGTCATTGTAAGTATGTTCAAGTCCAAAACTAGCAATATAGACACAAAACAAATTTAATAACTGGTATTTCAAATAAAAATATTCCCATTTAAGATCACCGTTCCCTGTAGACACTTCAATGACATTAATAAGAATAACATAATTTACACATTTAAATGTCTGTAGGCTGAGGTCTGATATCTGCCCTCCATTGTTTCATAGCAAGTGAGGCATGCATACTAACAGCTAGCATCACTTTTTTGAGACAGTAAGTTACAAGGTCTAGGACAAATCCAGTTATTGCATCTACTACAAGAGACTTCTTAATTCTTATTGTGGGAGCCACAATAAGGTCTGTAAAGATCTGCAGTCTAGAGTAGAAGGTTAAGCTATAAGATTATTAAGGTAATATGCTTTGTAAGGTTTATAAACTTAAGCAGCACGAACTTGCATTTATGTCAATAGGACTTCAGAGTCATCCCAAGCATGGACTGAGTTTGTATGTTCTTATATATACTTGATCTTGATTAAAAGCTTGCCGATAAAACGAAAAGCGACTCTTATATCTTTCACCCCAGAAGCTACTAGTTTTATTTCTTTGCATTATTTGTTTTTTTTTTTAAAGGACAGTGTTCTATTTTCATTTCAAATTCAGTTGTGGTATTTGTTACTGGAGAAACCCAGTTGCCTGTGAATAATCTGGTCTCCTTCTTTACGATAGCCTTTGCAATTATTCTCTCTAGAGGAGCATGGACCAATGCTATTGTAGGAGGATGGTGTAAGAATTAAGCAACTGTACTGACAAATACAAAATTATTTTGTAGCATAAGCATCTTACATGATTGTAGACAACTTGTCAGCCAGCCCATTTTTACATCTATTATTGGACTTCTCAATTAATTTCACAGAATGAAAATATTTCAACTATCAGTTGAAAAATATCATAAAGTCCATTTTAGTTGAGTACATGCAAAAGAAACTTAGAATTTCAGCTCCTTTTTTCCCCAATAGTCATTAGTAGAATTAAAAAATCAAAATTGAGAATAACAGAAAGAACCAGGCTAGTCTGTTAAGCCAGACCCATCCTATCCAAACGCAAGTGCTAAAAAGGGACACACTTTTATACTAATGGTGTGTGATCACTGAATGAAAACTTTACCTTTGTGTTTTCTGAAGAAATACCAGACACTGTTGTTCATGTGGAATGCCTCACTGACCTCCTCTTCCTTCAAGCTGCTATTAAACTACCACATTTTGTAGTTGTTGCAATGAAATTCAATAGAGTGCACTGCTTTTTACAAAAAGCATATAAAAATGGCTGATGTCTTGCAAGCAATTGCTCTATGATTCCATATTCCCCAGTTAAGAGCAGCAAATGTGCTTTTGTTATGTAAAATAGTGAGCACGCATTAAGCTGTATCTTAACAAGCTGTGATTTCTGTAGAGCTTGCTGTCCAGATAGTGTTGACCTAACTCATCCTACTTGCACTAAAGGAAGCTAAAATGTGTTTTAAATATACCCCAGGATAACCTTTGTGTTATGGAAGTGCTGTAACTGATGCAAAGATGCAGAGCTGTTGTGTGACTGTGAACAGAGCTGGATATTTGCAGGTCAATGAGCTCTCTGTTCAGATGCGCTCCTCACTGTACCTGTTTCTGCATTAGGGTTGTGGGGATAAAGCATGCAGTATTCTATTTGTTGAATGAAGCGCAATTTTTTCCCGGTGTACTGATGAGAAATACTTCCCTAAATATAAGATGATGTCTAATATATTTCAAATATTTACTTACAGAATTGGCATTGGTTGGGTTTGGCCAAGGTCTACCACCCCCAGGACCCCTGTAACAGAATATGAAAGATGAGACACAGACCAATCCCCATCTTCTGACCAGCTCTGAGCAAATCAAAATCATCTGTTTCTGGAGTAAGGAAGGCGATGTCATTTTTCAAATTAAAGTGTGTTTATAAACCATAACTACACCAAGTTATAATGCTATAGCAAAATTCTCATCATTGCACTACCATTATCATTTAAGCAGTCTATGAGCTGGTTGAAGTTAATTTATTTATTATTACAACCCTCCCACTCACATTTAAGACACTTCAGTTCCTGTCTCATTCTGGCACTTCTGTACTCTTCAGGGCAGGACCTGCCAGAATGGCACCAGGAGTCCTTCCCCAGTAGCCACACTGCCAGGGACTACGGTGGAGGTGGCACAGTTTTGCATCGGTCGCAAACACTTGTAAATTTAGGAAGTGCCAGACATTCTCCTTTTCTCAATGGAACAATTTGAAGGACATTGCAAATTAGTGTCTCTTGATGTGCCTGCCTTCTGTTCACGGAGAATTTGGCTCTGTGTTACATAGATGCAGTATTTTAGTGTGGCACAGAAGTTTTGCAAAGAGTAAAAAACAAGTTCCCAGTAAGTTCTCATGAGCAGTGTTTGTCCTTGTACTCTGTTACTCTTTTCAAAAATATTTAGAGGAAGTATCACACATTCCACAGAAGTCTACTGACAGTACAGACAAAGGCAGAAAGGTACTAAAATATAAGTGTAATTTCAGTCATAGAAACAGAAGTCTCGCTTACATCATTAAGTACCTTCCTGAAGAATTGAGGATGCATGCATTTATTGAGTACGGATCTAGAGTACTGTCAGTATAGTAAGGTTTCATTAGTGAAAGTGATGCTGGGGAAAACTATTTTTTAAAAGAACAAGCCACAGAAAATATGGTGCTATATCCTGTATCTGATAATAACAACATTAACAATAACAAAGCTCATGTACTAAAAATTGAAAACACACCACACTTCAAACTTATGTTTAGATACGTTATCTAAAACCAGTTTACTACTTGAATGAGACTACATTATCTCCACAGAAGTCACAGAAATGTTAAATTTATCATACAGCAGGCAAAATAGAAATTTCAAACTTTTCAGACATTCTTGTTACACTTGGCCCAAATGGTGTAGGCATGATCAAGTGGCAGCTCCTGGGCAGAAAGGACAAGAGCATTTCAGAGGCAGAAGACCTGCTTGACAAAACCAACTTCAATGAGACATCAGAGGGGTACTAAAAGCAGAAGGGAACGGGAATGGAAAAAAGGAAAAACTGTCCAGATAGAGCACGTTTTCTCACAACTCTTGCTGTTATTTTAAGTTTCTCACTCTTAGCTGAGCTCAGAAAAATAGTTTGGTGGTTAGGCTTCGTCTTTAACAGTCCTGAGGGAGCTAAGCCATATGGGAGGTAAAATCTCCATGTTTACAGTCATAACATCTCAATAACGATAATTATTCCTGGGAGCATTAAGAACTCCTAGTTATTTATAAATAAGACGAAATCACTTTTTGAAGGCCCTGACAACTGAGAGGCAGAGCAGATGACAAAACTTTTGCATTTAAAATGGTATTTTGGCCTCATTAGTTTTAGAAAAGCAACATTAGCCACCACAGCTTACCAGACATGGGAGAGTAATTTAAATACAGAGAAGAAAGCAGGATTTATTAATGAGTTCAGGAAGTTTTCCATCTATTTTCAAGTCTTGCAAAACTAAAAACTATTAAGTAGATATGTTGCCCGAGAGAGTTAATATTTAATCTTCTTTTTTTTCATTACATTGTTGATGAAACTATAAAGAAATTAGCTCAAACAATCAATTGAAATAAATCAAGTGAAAATTTTCCACAGTACTCATCCTCCTCAGGTAAAATATTCAGCAATTTATCCTCTGCTAACAATTAAAAGGTGAAATATTAGGCGTTCTTTTTTTCTTTTACAAAAAAGTTGTTATTTTTTCTATGTACCAAATTTGTTTTATTGGATCCTCTTTTTCAGAGAAATCAGGAACATTTGTAACAACACTGGAAGTCTGCTTCCACACCAAAATCCTGCACTGGTTTGCATGACATTAAGTAACACAAATATATCCAGTGAAATGCATCAAATGGAAAATAGCTGTGACAACTCTGCAGATACTCTGAACTACAGAGATATTAAAAAGCTGACTCAGATACATGATTCGGCTAAGCCACAGCAACATGGGAACTTAAGACAGGCCTTATAAGGAGACTGGGAAACTCACCTTTCATCTAAAAAGCTGTTGGAACTTGCAGTTTTACTGGAAGCCATGGACAGCTCTAAGTATAGACTTAGAAAACATTGTGGCAGATTCTGCTGGAAAGCCATACGGTTTTTGTGGAGCCAAATGTTGTCAGCTTATAAAACACACATTAAAAAAAAAGCTACCTGCATTTTTTTTCAATGCAATGCAAGCAGGTTTTTACCCTTTATTAAATGTTTATTTTGGAAGCATCAACAGAGTCATAAAATATTATTATGAATGTACTAATTCTAAAATAGAGGAATTTATGAAGTATCTATCACTATGACTAGTTACAGCTGCATTTTAACCTTACAGTTAGTCCTACAGTGTTGATGCTAGTACTTGAAAAAATAAAGTCTAAAATTTTATTTTCCCAAGTGGCAAAAATATTCAATCATCAGGATATTAAACATCTAGACACAAGTTTGTGAATTGAATTTTTTTTCTTTTCAGGTATGACTGAGATAATCTTGGCGCCTGCAGATCACACAGGCCATTAAAAAGTGCCAGTGAAATGTAACATTGTTCCCTGAAATTTGCCATTTTGTTCCAAAGGGGGCATTTTTTCACAAAGAAATAAAATCTAACTAAAAATGGATCTACACCAAGCTTCAACTTAAAACCCTATAGCTAAAATAAAGTTATTTTGTAGAAGAACATAGTATATGTATCAGCTGTTTCAAACAGTAATCTGATAGGCATTAGTTATGACAGAGCAAGCAATTATTTAGCAGTAACTGCATCTGTGGAGTATATGCTCCTGGACCAAAATACTGTCTATGAGCTCTCAAGCTGGTTGTTGCCATTTTTGACAATGAAGAACACTTTTTCATCTAGAAAAATGTAAAATTATATTTGGCAGATATTCTGCTCCTAAGCAAAACAGCTTCCTTTTGTGCTTTCTGAGCTGGATTTTAAATTGCAACTGTTTTTGTAGAGTACACATTTTTATATTTTAACATTGCCAAAAAGCCAAAAACATTGAATAGAACACTGAATAATTTTCTTCTAAGGAAAAGATATGGTGTACATTACTGTAAGGCAATAGCCTCATGTGTAGTTATCCTGTTTCCTAGAAATGTTAGTACATTAAATGACTTACACTGTTATTTCTTAGCCTTGTGCACTAGATAAATCGTAAGGGATAATACAAAGAACACATTTAGCACAGCTGGGTCCATCTATTGCCATTACCCACAGGTTACAATCCTTGGATGCAATCTAACTGATCCTGAATGCTGGAATTGAATGGACGACAAGTCTTCACTAAGATTTCGGCGTAAGGATAACTTTGACAGCAGTAACTTTACAGTAAGAAAAAAACCTGTTGTCCTGGAAATACAATTAAAAGAAACCCAGACCATAGTAACCCTTGTTTTGCTTTTGATCGGTATATGTCACTCCATTTGACAAAGGAAAAAAAATACTCAAGTTTGAAGGTAAAAAAATTATTCATGTAGTCAGGCATGCAACAGCGGAGTTCCTCACAATGGTCTGTGATTCAGCATGTAACACAGGTTGGGATATGTTACAGAATAATTTTCAAGTATTAGCACTTTGGACTCTCTTATGCCTTTAAAGTGCACATAATAAGCAAAGGGACAGTATGAAGTCCTGTTCTAAACCAAGAAAGAGTATCCAGTGTATGCCTGATAAGACATGGACACAACTGTGGTTACCTACTTCATAATTACTGCTTCACCTCTTGTTCTTCTCAGAAGATCATATACTGTATCAAAGTTAATGAATTTCCTGTGTAAAGGACTCCAATTCATGGTGTCCCCTTCAAGAGAACAGACAAGTTCAAAGGAAAATGTACTTCCCACATCACTGAATTAAAAGAATATCATCTATGTATGTTTACTGGCTCAACACAAAGTGAAATGTGTTTATTAAATGCTGCAATATGGAAATGGTAGTATTTCAACCCATCTTCTCTCTTTCAGGCAGCTCAGAAATTCTTTTTGTCATCCAGGAACCTGTTTTCTTATTTTTCCTATGCAAACTCTCATTTATGTCAGTAAGTAGCCTCAATGTATCTTATCTATCCTCAACTTTATTTCTACAACATTTTACTTTAGAAAGTTAATTTTCTTTTCTTGGAATTCAATCTCCTCATGAGGACAATCTTTGTAGTGCTTATATTATACTCACTCTGAATTTCAAATATCTTAAGTATTTTTTCTACATCAATTTTATTTAAAAGAAATGCCTACCCTTGGGAAGGTTCCTAGAATTGTCTTGAGTCCAATGTATGATGTGTATTATAGGGTAACACCCAACTTTAGATTTTATTTGTGTCAAAAATTCAAGGTATGTCTGGAAATCAGAATATGGTGGATTAGGTATTTTAACAGTACTATCTACTTCAACACCTCTTTTATTTTTTCAGGTTGGTAACTCTTTACTTGAAATGAAAATTATCAGCTCTCATTTATCTTTCCTGTAAAAATAAGAGGAAAAATGGGTATCTATGATATAATGGTAACAACATAATGATATATAAATCTTCACTGTGTTTTCTGTGTCAATCTGCTGAAAACTCATTCTTGAAAGACAAAGGTGTAAAAGGAGTAAGAAAAGAACATGGTCTCTGCTTTAGATTGTAAAATCATTCTAGTCCCTTGATAGGCGGACCACCACTCTGCCTTCTGTGACCACCCCAGGGTCTGCAAAATGCTGGTTATGAAAAAATGTTCTAATGTCAGTAGAGCTAGGCCCATGATCCAAGAGTGACATGATAATCTCTGGTCTGTGGTATGCTAAAGGTAACTAAGCAGCCCCTTAAAATTTGTGAATCTCTTTAAGAGAGAAATCTAAATAATACAAGGAACACCTTATTTTATTGTCCAGGCTTGCTGATCATGTAAGCAACTCCAAGCAAGTAAAAGTTTTATCTAAAGTGTAGAGGATTACTCATGATGGGCCACTTCCTATGCTAAAATCCTCAGCTTAAATGTAGTCTACTCTAGATACACTAATTTTACTTCTGGAATTTTTCTTCACACTTACAAAGGGGGGTTGTCTACAGGTATAAAAGACATAATGCTCTCCCATGACTAAATCCATACCTGAAATAAATCAGTATAGCTTAACTGAACTCTGTCTATATAAATTTTTACCAAATGACAATCCAGTCCAAGTACACAGAAACACTGAAAACCTTATGCTCATATTGGTAATATTCTTCTATCAGTTTAGAATGGAAATAAATGTAGTTATGGAAATAAAAACAGCAAAAGAGAGAGAATCATCCACACTTCATCTTTCAAATATGTCTTCTTTTATGAATAGTTCTAGACAATGGTTTAAATTTGCTAAAATGATGTACTTCTGGTTTTGCAGAAAAGACCCATACATGTAACATTCTTTACAAAATATTTAATCAGTAAAAACATAAATGTAAATAATGTCGCTTTAAAAAAAAAAACCACATTCAAGGATGTATCAGTATCAGTGACTATACTGACAAAATATTCCCAATACTTGAACTTTGACCTGTGAAAGAAACTGAGTATTTTTACAGACTTGTAGGGACAGCAAAGGTGCCTGTAAGAGATGCGCACAGAAGAAGGAAACTGCTGTGGGTTCACTTTTTTAAATTGCAGTTATTAATCATCAAAGCATGTTACTTATCAAAACATGTTCTCATTGTCTTATGTATCCCAAATGTTACTTCTACAATGAAATAACGATTTTTCTCAATATTATAAGATTTTATTATTGTGCTTACATGTTCATTCCAGGCATCCCCGGGCCACCTAAAGCATTCAGTGGGGGTCTCATTGCACCTCCATAGTTCTGCAATGATAACCAAGGGTCAGACTACCACAAAACAAAAAAACAAAACCAAAGAGGAGGGGGAAAGAAAGGACAGCAGGTTAATGATATCCCTACATAACTGCTGACTGGATAGGCCAATGTAATTAATTCTTTCAGGAGTTTCCATTGTTGACTTAAAAAAATATTGTTAACCCCAAAGAGAAAGAATTACAGACAACAGAAATAGGCTAAGTATACTTAAAATGTCAGTTGTTTCAGAAGGAATTATTTACACATATAGAGGTCAAGTCAATGGCCAGCAACAGGCAGGTTTTATAATGTATTCAACTTTTATACCAAGGAAGCTCATTCAAAATCAGAAACCTGGACTTAGATTCTAAGATTTCTACGTCATGCAATTTAAATAGAATTATTTTTAATTAGATTTTGTTTGGATATTAACAAATGCTCATATAAAATTATACTATATGATATCACTTTTATAACACACAGCATATCCATTACATTTCTCCTCTAATCAGTCAATTCTAATAAGTTTATGGTAACTAATATGAAAAGTATTTAATATGATAATGAATGTCATAGCAATGCCAATAAATTAATTGCCCAATGCCTATAAAATCTGAGTTTATGCTCTGATATAACAACAAAAGGTTAACTACACTATTTATGTGAAAAACTAAATTATACCTATTTTTATACAGAGGAAAACAAGCAGAACAGCCTAACTCACCTCACAATCATAACACCTTCCCTGATCTGTGTTAAACCTGCTACATTTTTCTGATATTTCAAAAGCATGGATAATAGTAAGTTCTCTGAAATGAAAAGCTTTCCATTTTGGAAGGAGGCAGGGACAAAGAGGTGATTTACTTAAAAAAATGTAGTTCATTGTTGCAGTCTATTTTCCAACAATAAAACTAACACACTCTATTTCATGTATAGCATACTACAAACTGCATAAACTATATGACTCAGGCTTATGAGTGTTCTCTATACTGGTCTGATTCACAAAACCATGTAAACATGAAGTCATGTATACGTGGGAGAAATCCAACAATGATATTCAAAGTGTGGGTCTGAGCCATTCTCCGTACATGGTCTGTCTGGTATCTCCCCTCTTTATTTTAATTCAGGAATCATTTGCGTGGACTGGGGTTAAACATCTCTATGGAATCCTGCAGGACTGGAAGAATCCTAATCAAATGTACTTCTAACTCTAATTACTGCTAATTCTAATCAAATGTACTCCTTCGTCCTAAAATAGGAGCATTTTCATTAAGGCTACCAATATACACGTTCCTTCAGCTGCAGCTATGCTCTGTGAAGAAGTTAGTGCCCCAATTTGTTCCTTACTGTTTTTTACTCAAAGTCACCACCACCACTGTTTATCTAGTAGCTGAGTTGTTCCTAAAAGTGCTCCCTACCATCAGGTGGCCAAAATGAGGCAGATTAGCCAAGACTTTTTTGTTCAATATTTAAGATGGCCTGATTATTTTTCACTAGAGAGCGTTAGGGAGCATGTGGGAGGCTCACCAGCAGATATGAAGGACTGGGAGAAGTAGCAGTCACCGACTGGATGTAGAACCTCATTCATCTAGCATAACTATGGCTTGAAAAAAGTCTGAACCTAATTCTTTGGAGCTTTTCACAGATTCAAGCATTTACAACCACCCACTGCTTTTTGCTATTTAGTTTGAAACAGTCTAGAATCATAAAATACAAAACTGAGGTAAATTTTCTGTAAGTTTTCAAGCATATGCATGCTATACTTGCTATAATGGACGTACTTCTGTATCAGCACATTAAGTATTTTGCAAGTTGACTGCCTGTGCAGCAAGGTGGCAGGGCCTTCCACTGTGGGCACACCTAGGTCAACTTTACAGCACTGTGGCAAGAGGACTTTAAAAGTAGGTGTGAAAGATTAATCAAATTTGGTTTTAGAGCTGCATTTTGAGAAGATCCTAAATGCCAGATACAAAGGTAGATGATGATCCATTTATAGAATAGATTGATTTGTGAACTTAAATTTTGTGTAGATTAGCTAAATTTTTCCCCATTTAAAGAGGATGTTCAGCACAAGAAAGAAGAACCTTATAAAAACACTGGATTTTAAGAGACATCAAAAATGGAAAAAATATCCTTACAAAAACTGGCATGAGATTTGCCTGCTGTGTGACTAATGGTGCTGCATAAAGTATCAGCTCAATCTCACATGGCAGCATTGCAAAGCTTCTCCTTCCACCTCCAAAAGGCAAGTGGTAAATATACTTCAATGCTACAGAAAAAATAACAGAAGTATTTAATAGTGGTTTTTTGGTCACACAGCTGATGTTGTGTGGAACTGCACAACTGGTTTCTACCAAGAAGCCCCAGAATTGTAAAGATGGTTATGAACAGATTTGAAAGGCAAAGCTATTTAATAATTTAAAAGTCAGTTGCTATTCCAAGGAACAAAGAAGTCACAAGAGAGATTATCTGAAATGGGGAAGTAAAAATGCAAAGTGTGGGCATGAGCATGCTGTAAAACAAAATACTGGCAACACCAATATGAAACACCACCACCTAAATTTTCTCCCACTGAGAGCGCTGATAAAATACATCATAATCTTTTGGATTCGTATTTCAGGTATGCATCAGAATTAATTTGGTTTTTGCCTCAATTTACTGTTGAAATGTAAGACTGACATATATCCACTTGTTTTTTCACACTTTTGAAGCAAGAGCCTATCAACAATTATGACCAGGTCAGCACCAAGGAGGAGGCTGATTCTTGCAATCCAAGGTTGCTTTGCTCCTTGAAAACAGAGCTAGAGAGATGCCTGTGATTGACAAGGGGGAGAAATGGCAGCATGAACTTCCCATTTTACATTAAAATCTCTCTAGCACTCACCAAAAACCTACATCAATAGTGGATGAAAGAAAAACTTCACAGAATTTTAGGGGGTATTTCTGGTACAAAGAGTTTGCCTAAGTTAGAAGCATTAGTCCTTTCCTCCTAAACAGCATAATCAATTAGGTTGGGAGGACGAGGAAACACCTACTCAATCCTTGGTCTCCTTTACAAATGTCAGCCTTTGATTACAACATATACTGGCTGTAGGACAAACATAACTTTTCTGAAATAACCAAGCTAACGGATTCCTCTTTTAATTTCAAATCTTAATTAAAATGACTGATGCTTTCATTTTAGACTTCATACAGTTGCAACTCAGAATTAGTTTTTCTGAAACAGGAAGTTTTATTTTAAAATGGCATTAGAACAACTACTGGCCATCTTCAAGTTACAGAAAACCAGAGTAATACAGTATAAGTACAGGCCTATCAATAAAAATGGGTATCTATCTGTGGAAGGTACCTGTGGTCCTAACGGAACCATTCCTCTTGGAGGAGTCATTCTTTGCATTGGCCCACCCATGTTTGGATGCCCTGCAAATAAAAATATATAACTTTTTAAACTATGCAATACACAAGCACCTTCTAAAACAACTTTAACAGATCATTCCTTTTTAATTAACAAGAAGCTGCAGTAAGCTTTGAAACCCAGAAAGAAAGATGCAAGTTTGAGAAGACAGTACTTCTGAATCATCCAAATTATTCCATTCACCTTGCTGCCGTGTTGGGTCCATCCCGCTAGGCAATAATGGCTGACTTCCTGGGACACCTCCGAGTGCCTGCAGGCATAGAAACCATACGTTAAAAACACAGAATGCTTTGAAACATATGTTAAAGACATAATGCAGATATTTCCTTTTTAATTCACAGATGTTTCTTCTGAGTCAAGAGTAATGCAGAAGAGGTAAATTTCCTAAATGCCCTAATTAAATGTCCTAAGTGCCTAACTAAACTAAAAGTCCTGAATGTCCTGAGACCCTGACTATTGATTTGCATAGACAAACTCTTAGACTTCTGTGGTATTATGTATAAACAATCTCCAAAATATAACTGCCTAATTTTCCCCCCCCAGTACTTCCTTCACTTCAGCTTAACTATTATTTAACCTCTGAATACCACCTTTTGCTTGTGTACACGGCAATTTATCCAAAGCTTGTGTTGCTAGAGTTTGCTCTTTTAACCATTATTTTAACATTTCCTTTCAGAGGACAGGATGGAGACACTGATATTCTCTGAGAGTGAGCCATAACTGAGCCAACCGCACAGCGTTCACAGGGTACAGTTAATGTGGTCTGTGATGTGGGGGACATTTTATCTTCCACTCTGCCTTACTCTTGAAGGGCATCAATGCCAAGATAAACTTATTATTCATCTATGGGAGACAACAACAGTCACAAAACTTGCTCCTAAATCTTGTCTTCAAGCATGAAGGTGCACTGTGTTGTTACTTCACCTCTGGCCCAAATCAGATGCATTTCTTTTATGTCCCCACACTTTAATCTGCCCCTTGGGTTTATAGTAACTGAATTAGGTTTAAGGCTAATTTCTACACTCTTACCTACAGTTTAGTCAACTAGAAGATGTTTTTATAAATGGATCTTTGTAGCTGATCCACTAGGTGCTATTTAGCATTTCAAAACACTGCCGCATTTTCAGTAAAAATGTATCCAGAATGAGCAAATCTGTTATTACAAAATTGATGTACTCAGGCAACACAGCTATTGCTTACTGTGGGGATGGGCAAGTTACTCATGACCTGGAAATACTATAGTAGTCTTGGATACATACAAAAGGAACCTATCTGCAAATATTATACAGTTTGTTTCCACAAGAGGTAGAAATTCAAAATTAAGATGCACATTATTACCTCAAAGGTAATAATGTCAAAAGGTACTGCGCTGCAAGGTAAATGGTGTAAACAAATAACCTGAGACAACATCATTTAAATCAGAGTTTTACAAGTACTTCAGTGGCTTGAAGTCTGGATGACACACAAGAGCAATACATGAATCACACGGAGAAGTGTCAAATACTAGCAAAGCAGGAACTGGTCACTTCTGCCAGAGATGGCATGTGACACGCAAGGACACGGAGGCATTCGCTGCTCTGAGCACATGTGACTGAAGACTCAGCTCACGAAGTCATTACACTGTGGGACATTACATGAGGGACTCTGGTTCCCTTCTAAAATGACGTAGCAGTTTTCAAGAAAAACGAGCACAATGCATTGCCAACAGCAAATACCCTTGTATGGCTTGAGCTCATAGGATGTGACCGAGTACTGAAGGCAACTTAGGGGCACTCATGAGGTGCTCGGTAGGTACTAATTTTCCTTACTACAAAGCCTAGATCTGGCTCAGATAACCCTTACCTGTGTAAGCACTGGACTGTGCTGTGCACGTGCGCCTTGTGTTACCCTTCCTTGCCTAAGAAACACAATCCCTGCTGCAAGGCATTAAGGAATAGAGTTATGGTTACAGTGGGAATTTTAACTCTGATCTTTACTGACTTTGTCTAATCAAAATTTCAACCTTAAAGCTGCACTACAATAGTTTATTACTTCCACACACTGCCCAGCTATACTGTAACTTAAATAATGGCAGTGTTGTTAAAAGCAGTAATTCGTGAATGCGGCATAATGTAAATGAATTGCAAGAGCTGTAATTCACTGAGATTATGTGATTATGTTACAGCTCTGAACTGAAAATACCACAATGTGCAGACAAAAATGCTTCTGAAACTAAAACTGCAGGTTGGCAGCGTTTTCACAGCACTCACCACATCCAGCTTCTACCTGCCAGTATTTACAGTGTTCAGAAAAACAGAAAGAGAAACAAAGGAGTATGTGAAACCCAAACACTGGTGTATCTTTTGCTAAGATATTACGGAAAGATGCAAAAATCAGGAAGGTATTTTGTACTGAGTTACAATATGTCTGCAGCAAATATTTAACTAAAGTGCTAATGACATTGCACTCTTACATTGTCCCTTGATGATCACTTCAGTAAGGTTAATTAAGTCACCCATTTCCCTTGTGAGAAAGTAGCTATGAGGTAACTTAACCTGCTCCCAAATATTACCGTGTTTGATGGAGAGGAATATCTGAAGAAGTCCTGCCACCTGATATATCCAGCTCACTAAAATTTAAACTTCACACTTTCTGGCAATATTGTGCCAGTGCTGAAGAGAAGTTTGTTGACATTGTGTTATATAGACATAAAAACCAGCCAGAACTGAGGTCGGGGCATAAAAGTCTCCTCACCAAGCTGTGACAGCAAGAAAGGCAGTCCTGGAAGTCTAAGTTGGACTAAAACACCCATTCTATCTATCCTATCAACCTTTCTCAATACTGTAAATGACTCAGTTTTTCTTTCAGAGCTCTGCTGATGTTTTCCGTCTGCTTATCTTTAACTTTTCATCTGCTGACAACCACTTTCTCCTCCTCTATCTGCACTATGGAGAACTTAAAAATACAAATGCTATCTACATCCAGAACCATCTTTTCCCACACGGGCCAATAGATGTCTCTGCTGACAAACTCATTACTCATTCCTGTTACACTGGCATGCACATCCTTCGATGGAGATGAGAGAAAACTGGGAATTCGATGTTTTTATGAAGTCCTCAGAGTGTCTATAATGTCTTTATGATATCTGCGTCTCACCAATAACCTCCGTATTTACTATCAAATAAATACACTTCATATATCCAACAGAGAATAGGAGGGAGTGATGCATTTTAACTAGAATTAAGCAAAAAAATTCTCAGAGCTAGCTGCTTGATGTCATTAGGAAACTTTAGAGAGTACATCGGTTATGGAGACATTCTGCCTCCATCTCAGAGCAGGCAGCGTTGGCTGGCTGAGGTTAATGCAGCACAACGCAAGGCAATTATATCCTCCCTCTGCAAACAGGCTCAATGCACAATGAATTTTGATGCGTAGACACGAGTTAAGCATAAGAAAGTGAGCTGGGGGTGGCATGGCCACACCTTACCAAAATAACCATTTAATGGTCAGACAAAATTGGGTGGAGAGGGACTGAGTTTTGTAGCCAACAAGTCATTGGTAGCCAACAAGACAACATTCCCTGTTCCCACCACTGCACCATCACTCTGGACCACAGCAGTGCATCAGTGATAAAATCTTACCTGATTGGGTATTCTTAAAGGTGGCCTTGGACCTCCAGGGTACCGAGGGGACATGAAAGGCTATGAAAAAAAGAAATATTGATGAATAATTCAACTTAGCTTGTAAATACCACACTGAGTCATTGGGCATATGGCTTGTGCCATGCTCATGCCTCAAGCACCCACTATCTATCAAGATATATTATTTAAAATTTTGTTACAGTAATTGTGAATGCGGAATATAAACAACTTAATGAATTAACAGTGAAGAAGACTAATAAACCATTTAGATCATATAATCATACATCTATACTTTACACTGGAGAAGGGGAAAAGATAGTAACCCTGGAATAGAAAACAAAAATGTTCTTGGGAGAGTCAAGAGGTAAGTAACAACATAATAATTCACAAATACTTTCCATTCACTTTTTCATAATAATACAGTAAAATGCAATACAAGATTTAACCTGTGAGGGCACAGATTTCAAGTTTACGTTGTAAATATTTAGAATTTTGGTGGTTCCATTAACCATATAATTCAATGCTGCACTCCTTCCATCCTTCCATATTTAACTCCATGCTCACACAGTAAATCCCCTCTCTCAAAACCGAATTTATACCCAGATCTGTCATACCATCCCACACCTTGTAAGGTTCTAGTGGCTCTTGGCTACTATGATACTACTTCATAGCCCGCAAACAAGTTCAGCCCCTTATGATAAACAAATGGTAGTACCAGCAAACAGATTTAACATCTCTACTTACTCCATCCCAAAGTGTGACAATAATCTAGAAATCTAAAAAGCTGGGACATTAGTGGCAAGTTTGAGTTCTACAGGGAAAAGGCACAAACAGCTGACTAAACAGATGATGAAGAGGATCATTTTGGCAAGCTATAGCTCCAAGAGAGCTAAAAGTATGCTTTGACGGTGAATACGGGGACAGAAAAGACTGAATCTTTGTATCGTGAAAGAGGAGCTCACTTCTGTTCATGACACTTCCACTGGAGACAAGGGAGAGATAAAGGAAAGGAGTCTGCTGGAGCTTCCCAGGGGACATCTCTGATGACAAATGAGTTGCTGCACGTTTAAACCCACTCTTTGGGGTTCTTTCTCTTCAAAGAGAAACAAATATACCTACACAGGTATCATCTAGTCAGCTGTAGTTAATGACCACTGGCAGGTCCCTAAAACTCTATGGTCAACATCCCTGTTTTACAAATGAATGGCATACTTCAGCTCCATCATCAGCACTGTGTTATAAACTAAAACGCCAGTGATCATCAATGCCAGTAATCCATGTATTAACAGTAGCAATAGCTAGCAAGATAATTATAATCATTTTACCAATAATTAGTAATGGAATTTTTCCTATGATCTTGCATGGAAAATTTAATGGAACCTTTCACATCTCAGAATCAGATGAAAGCTGAAATAATGTAACATACATAACACGCGTTCAAAACAGGTACTAGAAAGCAACTTAAAATACAGAGGGTTTACAAACTGGAAAATAAAGTTCAATGGCAATTGTGAAAAGATCACTTTAATAAAAAGGCATTTGAAATCACGTGCTATAGCAAAGAGAGGCTTCTTCATGCCCTCTCTCTGATGGTGACATTCTCTGATAAGAAAGAAAGAAAGAAAGAAAGAAGAAAGGGTCGTGCACGTGTTGAAGGCTGTAAACATGCAGGCCCTCGTAAAGCAGTAAAAGTGTGAGGAAATTAGAATTTCAACAATATCCACAGAGGTCAACCAAGCGCATTGTATGGAGTGCAGCATACTCCAGTGAGTATCTTGGATTTGGCTTACCTCATTCAGCAAACAAACCCTTAACTTTATTTACAGTTGTAAAGCTCACAAAAGGGAAATCAGCAGTGTCTCTCAAGTCAACCATATCTTAGTGTAGAATCACACTACTAATATTAGTTTATAATAGTGCGTTATTGGCAGAACATCTGCTCCTTCCAAGCAGG